GCACGAGATAGTACGGCTTCGCCGCTCGTGCTAGTCTTTTTACCTGCCAGCATCCGGGGTGCGTTACATGTCCGGATGGTTCGGGTATAGGCACGTGGGACTTGACTAAAGGCTAAGAAAAAGGCGAAGGAGGTGAGGGTTCAAGTTGATTGAACTTCCAAAATAACTACGTCATGGGATACACATGCTTACCAGTTCACAATAATAGTATAATACTGAATGACAAGCAGGAAAAATCAATCTTCTTCCCCTTCCTTCCTCTCTGACAGTCAGGCCACGCCTTGTTTTAATGAAATAATGAACAATTAATTTTTCTCCCCGTCAAGTTTTTATCTGTAAACTTTTTTTTTTAGTTGGCTTAAGGAGGATGTTACAAACCGTGACTTGCTCACGGGAAGTTTTCAAATCAGCAGAAAATGACTCGGAAAGTTTTCGTTAGCGTTTAACAAACACATTGATGACTCGTTTTGTATGGAACGCGTTTATCTTTATACCCCCAACAGTTTTTCTGTAGGCACCCTGACAAATGCAACAAAATGCAACTTGGCTGAAATAGGAACCAGGTGCTAATTACATGTAATGCAACAAATTGCAACAGTGAATTCTGTTGCATTGTGCAGTGAAACCAGTGCATACCAGCCTTGGCACCAAGCAGTTACCCTGCTAAATGCAACAAATTGGATTCTGTTGCATTGTGCAGTGGAACCAGTGCATACCAGCCTTGGCACCAAACAGTCACCCTGCTAAATGCAACAAATTGGATTCTGTTGCATCGTGCAGTGGAACCAGTGCATACCAGCCTTGGCACCAAGCAGTCACCCTGCTAAATGCAACAAATTGGATCTGTTGCATTGTGCAGTGGAACCAGTGCATACCAGCCTTAGCACCAAACAGTTACCCTGCTAAATGCAACAAATTGGATTTTGTTGCATTGTGCAGTGGAACCAGTGCATACCAGCCTTGGCATCAAGCAGTTACCCTGCTAAATGCAACAAATTGCAAGGTTGATTTTGTTGCATTGTGCGGTGAAACCAGTGCATACCAGCCTTGGCATCAAACAGTTACCCTGCTACATGCAACAAATTGCAACAGTGGATTCTGTTGCAATGTGCAGTGAACCCAGTACACACCAGCCCTGGCACCAAGCAGTTACCTTGCTAAATGCAGCAAATTGCAACAGTGGATTCTGTTGCATTGTGCAGTGCATACCAGCCTTGGCACCAAGCTGTATCCTGCTACCGTACTTAAATGCAACCAAACGCAACAGTGGATTCTGTTGTACTATCGCCTTGGGAAAAGCACAGGAACTTGAGTTGCCTGGCAACTGCAACAGTATGCAACAACTTTTCACCAGTGATGCTTTTTGTTGCATTTAGCAGGGTCAGGTTGTTGCATACTGTTGGATTTAGCAGGGTCAGGGGTTAAAACAGCAACAGTTTGTATAAAGTGAAGTGTTGGGGACCGTAGTTGATTTTTGTAGTTATGTCCTCATTTACACATGTATACAGACGTTCGCAGAAACAGTATTTGAAGGAAGGTAACAATTAACCAGGCATGCAACTTGGAAAAAACTAAAAGCGAGGAAACCCCAACCTTTTCAAGACTTTTTACAGTATTTTTCAGTTTTGAATGGCGTAAGTGTGAAGTGAAAAACGTGGAAATCAGCTGATCCTAGAAAAATTTGCCTTCCTGATTAACACCCTCAACAAGTTTTGCATAAATTAGTATCATCGCGTGCCATACACAGCTGTGTGTCGATAGAACAACGTTTTGTTACATCCCAGGATGCACACTAAAACCAAAACAATAGTGACAGGAAGAGATTGGCGTGATTTGAAGTCTCTTTCCCACGGTGTGGACCCAATGTGTTGACCTCAGTCCCTGTTATATCCACATGTATGCCTTGCCCGAATCTTTAGGAAGTTGATTGTTATTGGAGATTGTCTTCCTGGTACTGGTATTGATCATGTTGCCATCTGCACCCGGACAAAAGGCCATGTCAAATTGATCATTGTCTTACCTTCTTGTTTTTCACTAGGTTTCTTTTTAGTTAACAAATTAGAGTCAGTTTTGTGTTTGTGAATTAGCTTTGTATTAGGCCTTTAGATTTTCTAAATTTGTCGCAATGCATGTGGTGACTTAAGCCTGTGCCTTTAAAGGTATAGTCCATCATTTGTAATTTGTGCATTTTGTTCGTTTGAAGCAACAAAAGTGTTCAAAATCTAATGAAGGATACTGAACAACTAACCTGATGAAGTTTCAGCTCAGCTTCAGCTGTATACTCCGAGAAAAACAGCATTCTAGGATCTCAATTTCAAATCAAAAGTTGCTGAATCATGTTTTGAATTGGGCCTGAATTCAGCGTCCGAGACACGTTCTCACTGAACCGATTGCAGCTACATGTATACGCGATGTCGCGCACTGATCCGACGAATTATAGCAACTGCGCGCGCGTGTACGCGTCGTGCCAATGCTTGCGCGTGCTTCGCTGAATAACAAAATGAATTACTAATTTAAATTTTCCTACGGTGCGTCTTAAGACGCACCGTTGGAAAGGCCTTCTTTCGTTCATTACTTCAAAATGACAGCTTGCCAGAAAGAATAATTTCACAGGGAGTTTAGTCCCCTTACTATCTTTCAACCAAGTATGTTTTTTAACAATAATTACGCCAGTTACTTTTGGGATGGCTGCAAATGATGGATACATGTAGCTTTAAATGTGCAGTACATGTAGATGATGCACGTGTACAGGACACCTGTAAGTTTTTGATAGTCTGTGTATCACCCGTTGTCCAATGGAGCTCTGTCCGTAACCAGCGTCTGATATATGTGAGCAAGGCAGATTTTATGCGACCCTGCGCGCCAGCCAATCAGAGTCGACTTTAGAGATTGTGACATCATTTCGATCAGAAATGTGGACTAAGCTGTTGATTGGTCAATTTTGCTGCCACGTTTTTGGAATACAACAATGGGTTACGGAAGACCCGATAGAAAGCGCCCGATGAATGGTCAGAACCTCGAGGTCAAGACACAGTCTTGTTCTGGATAATTATAGGTACAGTCCATCATTTGAAGCTATCCAAAAAGTAACTGACAAAAGTATTGTTGAAAAGCATGCTTGGTTTATCTAGATACCGGTAGTAATGGCACAAAACTCCCTGTGAAATTGTTCTTTCTGGCAAGTTGTCAATTTGAAGAAAACAATGAAAGGCCATTTCCAATGATGCGTCTAAAGACGCATTTTTAGAGAATTCCATCAGAAGTTAATTTTTAATTTGACAAAGCCGTGAACGAGTACAAGTGTTGACATGATGCACACACGTGCGGTTGCAATAACTTGTCGGTTCAGTGCGCCACTTCGCGTAGCTGCAATCGGCTGAATCGAAGAACATGTTCCGGACGCTGAATTCCGGCACATTTTAAAAACATGATTTGGGCAACTTTCAATCTGAAATCTTTTTTGGGGGGGGGGTGGGGAATGTACAGCATTCACTGAGCTAAAACTTCAGGTTAGTTGTACAGCATGCTTCTTTAGATTTTGATCACTTTTGTTGCTTCAACCGAACATGAACCAGTATGTAATGCACAAATTACAAATAATGTAATAATATTTTAATCTTTAAATAAAAAATAACAACTGAAAAAAAATTAAACATAGGGTCACTGCCTTAATTTACACACACAAATTGTGAACACTGCCGTACACATGGCTTCTTCTGGGAACTCTTCAGTATTGAGAGTGGCAATAAATTTGTCATCAATGTCGTCTCTCAAACTTCCATCAGTAGAATGTTACAGTGTTTGTTTGGTTAGACTTCATTCAGAGCACTTAACCCCAACATCGCGACGTGACCTCAGCGTTTCCTGACCGGCCGCCCTGTTGCCTCACGCTCACGTGCTTCATTCATAACATGTCCTGCATTCTCTGGATGTATATGAAAAGGAAAAGTTGGATAACCTCAGGTGAACTTTTCCCCTCCTTTTGAGGATGAATGGCGTTGACGTTTGGATTGTTTGTACTAGGGATTCCTTGAAGTCGCTTATAGGCGTTTGAAGTAGACTGTGAAAATGTGTACATTTTGTAGACTCGGTTTAGCTTGTGGCTAGATTTATGGTACTTGAGTAGTTTTTTTTTTTAGTCTGGGGTGTGTTCTGTAGAGGATTAGCTCTGGCAGACCCTTCTACAGTATGTGTCACTTCACTCACTTGGTGGTCTGTCCCTGGAAAATTGACCAAAAATAAGCCCCCTTAGTTTCCCATAACATACATGTATATACATATGTATACACTCAACCAAAAATGAAAGTCCCCCCTTCCAGTACTTTTTCCTCTAACTCAAAAACTACTGAGCACCTCTCACTCAAATAACAACCAATCAGTACAGAAATTCCTTAGAAATCCAGCTTTACTTAAATATTTGGCCCAAAACAGTGAAAATGCATAGTAGAATTATGCAATTCATTACAAATGATACCGAAACAGTTGCACTTTTGTACCGGTACGTGCAAGTTGTGGTACACACTCACATTGCACACTTGTACACTTGGTGTACGTACATGTACCGGTATGTATACAAAAGTGCAACTTTTTGTCAGTAGCATGTGTTGTAAATTGCATACATGTAGTTTTGTACACATTATCAGCATCACTGTTTTGGGCCAAACGAATAGTATGGCAGGATTGCTTAGCAATTTCTGTAGTGATCAGTCATAATTTTAGCAAGATGTACCCAGTAGTTTTTGAGTTTATAACTACATGTACGAAATTTTAATTTTCAACTCCCTCCGTTCAAGTCCAGAATGCAGTGGAGGGGACAGGAACCAGCCTCCATTTGTACGTTGCTCTTGTTCTTGTCTTGCCTTCAGGGCTAGTGCAAGCATTGCTTTTGTGGAGTATACCGGTACATGTACATGTACATGTACAAAGGCACACGGACCATTCAAATTGTATGTTGGCACTCTGAGGATTCACAGTGCTAGCTCCCAATTTATGTAGCGCCTGTGTTGTGATTTTCATGTAGTGCTCCAAAGCGGTCGTTGTTCTTCAGGGTGTGGCATCTTCTCGACGGGCGTGGCTGTTGCTTAATGGGTGTGTCTCTTCTTCAAATAGAAACCATTGATGTGAATGATGATCCGGTATGACAAACTTTTACAATGAAGGAGGTGTTTTTTACTGTCAATCGGGACAGTGTTTTAAAAAAACATTCCGTCACCTCTGCTCTGTCCCAGCTGTCTTATAACCGTCTTTGTCAAGATAATTGGAGCCAACGTGCACATGTTGAAGACACTTAAACCTGGATGGTGTTTGGCGTTAGAGGAAGTTAATTCTGGTATTAAGACGGAAAGGAAACCCTCTTTAAAGCCAGTGCTATAACCTGGGATTATGTTTCGCATGACTCCGAAAACAAAAAACTAGCTGCACAGTCACCTACCCGTGATGGTAAACTTGCCAGTCAGACTCATATGCGTCTCCAGGCGTACAGGTTACTCGCTCGCAGTTGCTCAGTTTGTGATATAACATTGTGTGTCGTTGGGATGATATAAACTGGAGCGATGGTGGACGTGGCGACGGTGTTGGCCCGGCGGCGCTGGACCTGGTCCAGCAACCTCTACGAGGGATATCTGTACAGGTAAGATAGCCCTATCTGTTGACAGAATGTAGAAGTGTTTTGCAGGAGACAATTCCCTAAAATTGTTGTGAGATACACTGTGGCATGGAAACCTGGCTTGTCCTTGTTAATTCAGGCGATTCGCAATGCAGTGCGCCTCCAAGAGTTTTCCACTGAGAGTTAATTTTTCCCAGTGCATTGTGGGAGATGGTCGACAAATTCGCAGCACGGGACATTTGAAATTGTTAGTTTTTCCGGTCAGTAGTTTCGTAAGCGTCTGATTCGAGGATCTGTTTGCCCTTTTCTTTTCTTCTTATCAATATGGTGTTTTTCTGTAAGGCGGCAGAATGCCATGCTCCAATCTATAACGTATTAGCTCAAGTTGTCTACTGACGCTCATTCAAATGGACCATGTTTTGTCGACCGTAAATCTGAAAATTGGACTCTCCATGGCAAACTCTTGGTGGCGTACTGCATTGTGAATCGCCCGAATTGGACACATACCGATACCTGTGTATCACAAGCCAATTTCTTTACAATGGAGTTGTGTACTATATGTACGGTAAAGTCATCACAGTGGAATGCAGACTGGGCATGTGACCACTTCTCTTTTATAGGTCTCTCTCAAAGGCGGCCATCTCTGTAGGAGAACTGCAGCTGTGTATTTTACGCAATCAAACACGCGTTGCGCATTGTTGAAAATGTTCCAAACAAGCGCTTGTTGCTTGAAATGTGTTCGAAATAAGGCGCAGCCGATGCGCGTTATGCTAGTTGACGCTCAAAATGCCGATGCACGTGGCTGGTCTGTAGGAAATGACGTCATTTGAGAGAGACCTACATGTACATCTATAGGCCTTTTCACGCTGAACAAATCTTGTGGTTGACGCGGGGTTGACGCAGGGTTAAAAACCTGCGGCATTTCACACTTGAAAATTTTAAACCCTGCACCAACCCTGCCTCAACCCTGAGATTGATTTCGCCCCGGGTTGAACTCAACCTTGCTCCAGACCAGGGTTGAGATTTTCAAGTTTTAACCGGGTTGAAACTCTAGCCAGGGTTTGAAACTAGCTCGGTTTGCACGAAACAAGTGTGAAACGACACAGGGGTGAACGCAGGTTTGAAAAATAGAAAACTCAATCCGGGGCGGGGCGGCACTGGCTTTGCCCAGGGTTGAGTTCAACCCGGTTGAGAAGCTCTAGTGTGAAAGGCCTTATCATGGGACACTGTAGTTATGGCCAAATCATTGAGGCCACTGTTGTTCAAATGAGCACCACATTGTGACGAAAATAACTGACTGTGTCCCATACATGGGTGCACTCAAGCAAGTGCTCAGAGATGTGTCTACTGGCACGGTATCTTCATAGCACTCCAAACTTTTCAAGTGGACAATTTTGCACAACTATAGTGCACACATGCAATGTGCATTGTGTGTAGATCAAATCAGTATTGTGCAAATACAGTGTACCGGTACATGTAATCCTCAACTGAAGTGTCATTCACACAATTGCGACTGGTGACAGATGATCCCATATATCAGGGTTAACAATAGTAAACACTCAGTGATGATAGGGTTCTTGAAAACACCATATTATTAATGCAGTTATTGTGTCAGTACATGGACAAGAGACTAGAGTAATCCTCAGTGTCAAATGGGCGCATACTGGAGTTTGTATCCTTGTAGAGACATCTCTTTGTTCTCGTGTCATAAAAATTGAGTGTCAATATGTGGTTTCAAAATGCTCAGCCAGAATTAATTTTGTGGGCTGAAATTCAAACTAAATATCCCTGATAAGTACATGTACCGGTACATATAAATACTTCAATTTGCGACGTATAAACACTCCTTGGAAATTCCTAGTTTTTGAGTAAAATCCAATCCGCATATCTGTTTCATGATTGTGAAGATGTATTCACCTAGATAGAAATTGCCCTGTGGAGACGTACATGTATACATTACAGTTTACACATGTCTCCATATGGTAGTGCATTATGGAACAATGCAGTAGTTCACATTTTGGGATCTAATATGTATGAGGTGTAGTGATGATATCAATGAAGGGCCTGTACTGTGGATCGGGTGTGACTAATAAGTAGTCACTATCTATTAAAGGTCGTCAAAGTTTGAACAAAGTACATGTACGTGCCTCACTCTATTGATGACCAGCAGCGCATACTCTCTGAAGCATTGAGTTTCCCCGATTCTTTTCAGGACCACAGTTCTTTTCAGATTTCTTGTATACATTGTACCGGTAGTAAGCACTGTCGATATATCGATATTACTTGATTATTCGATATTAGTTTGATATCGATATCGTTGATAGTAATTTTGTAATCACATCGAAATTTAACAGTATTGAGGAATTATATTGAAAATATTGAAAATGCGTCAAATAATCATCAAAAAAAAATCTCCCATTGGTGCTTTTACTTTGTGTTTAACGTTTGCCCTATTATAAAATAAAAGTCGGCGGCAACTTACAAATGTTTAATTTGTTTTGATAAATCAAAGTGTCATATTTAATTACGGTCTTTAACTTTTACATGGGATAATCGATATATCAAATATTCTTGATATTGGATTTCCGATAAGTTTATTATTGAAAATTCTGATATCAACGGTGCCTAACATGTAATGCTACCACAAAAATCAATCCTCTTCCCCTGCTATGCCTTTTATACAGCTAACGGGTAGTCACCAACAGTCAGATCACAATTTGTAGCAAGCACCGTGACTGGTCAAATTCAGTCAACAGACAAAAGCAGGCAAGTGGTAGGCACAGCTGCCCTTATCAATCACCTACAGTCAAAGCAAAGCTAGCTACATTGTACATAAACAGTCACAGCCAGTCAATCCTGCTTGATGTTGGCAGGGAGCACTCAACCGTTAAAAACAGTCACTTGACTTATTTTGACTGAAACTGTGACAGGACAACTACCGGTAGGCCATCAGCCTGGGAGTTTGGTCGGTATCAAATTAGGGGAAAAATTTAACTTTTGGCAAGTTATGCACCCCTGTAGTTGGAAAATATGAGATAGCATTGCAGTGGTGGCAGCTTTTTTGGGTGCTATCAATTTTTAAAAAAAAATGGCAGCCAAAACATGCTTATTACCACATTTAATTAATCCGGTAACAAGCATGTTGGCGGCCATTTTGAAGAAAAAAAATTTAAAGCGATAACACCCAAAAAAACTGCCACCACTCACACTGCAAAGCCATCACACATTTTCCAACTCAAGATGTTCATACCTTGCTAAAAATTGCTATGAGCATTGCTCCTTTCGATAATTTGATACCGGTGGCCCAATTTTTGGACCGAAGCTGATAGCCTAAACTTTGCACAGAATGTACAAGTACCGGTATGTTTGCATAGGAGAGCAGTAATGTTTGCTGGAGTGGTATATTATAAGTTATCCCGCGAGCGTGAGTGGAACACGGAATAATGTAGTGCATCTGTGTCCCACATACCACGAGGCCGAATGGGGGACACAGACACACTACATTTTCCGTGTTCCACGAGTGCGAACGTGATAACAAATTTATCTTCAAGCAAACTAATGACGCACAGTAAAGATGGGACTAGCACGCATGCAGCTGGAATGTCGCTCGCATCTTAGAAAAGCGGAATACGCGGAGTGCGGTATGGATTGAGGCCGTGCCACATGGTTATACATGTATGTAGCACGGCTTGTTGCCATGGATCGACCAATCAGGATCGAGGATTCAAGTTTACTTGAAGATAATTACATGTTCACACATAAATGCAAGATTATAGAAAGCATTGAATTTGAAAAGATGTCCTCCAAAGCAGTTCCTTTTGACCTTAGACTTTTTGCCCTGATTCCGGCCCAGGCACCCACCAGTTTGTTTTCCCTGGAGTTTCCTGTGTCCAGGCCACATCTTCCGCTCGTCAGAAAAACAGGAATTGAGATCAAATTCATCGGAGGCTAAATTAATATGAGGTTACGGGGTCGTGTGGTTTGGGGGTGAAGGTGGGTGGCATGGCCTGTGAGTCACTAGCAGCAAAATATACTGAAAGTGGGGGCTGTCATGTATTTTGTTGTTTCCTCCAATGATCCCAGTTACTAAAGTTGTAAATTTCGTCGTGCCAGGGCAACAAGGTCGTAACTCCATTCTGCAACAAAGTCGTATCTCGTGCCAATACGCTCCGTGCAACAAGGTCGTACCTTGACGTCTATTGACTTTGTGTGTACATCCGGGTTATTTTAAGTGAGTTACCGGTACGACCTTTTGACATTCTGAAACTTGTGTTTCACGTAGTCCCATTTTAGGAGATACGACATTGTTTCACGGACACAACGATATGCTACATGTATCTTAAAATAGGACCAACAGTTCATCCAACAACATGTACACGGAGTTTATCCGAACCAATCTAAGGCCAAAAAAAAAATAAGTCGGTCTCTGGTCAGCGCGCGTGTCGATTTTAATCATGCGCGTCAATCTTCTTTTTTTTTCAAAATGTTCCGCAGTAGCTCCAATAGCGCCCTCTATTGCCGCACCTGCTCAAATTTTTTTACCAAAGAGCACCAAGGAATGGGAAATTGCACCGAGGCAAATGATCGAGAGCACCAAGGCAAATTATGGAGGATACCAATGTACATGAGGACACCAAAAAGCAAAATAGTACCCCACCTTGTCTGTACAATCCAAGCTTGAAGAAAAAAAGGAAAAAAAAGCCGCGTCCCCCCGCGTCAATTCCGGAACTTTGGTCTGACCAGAGACCGAATATTTTTTTTTTTTGGGCCTAAGATAAAATATATTTTGACCATGCGAGCACTAAAACTTCAAAACAATTTTAAAAAGTAGGTAGCTATCTGTATTCTTATCATGTTGTAAACATCAACTGAAAATGACTGAGGAGCACAAGAACATTTTTGAACTGATTGACAGTTTGTCAAATTCTTTGGACTGGGGAAAGAAAGAACTTCCACAGTGCATCGCCACACCTCCTCCACAGCGAGTCTGTTACCTTCCCAGCATTGAATAATGCCAGTACCCATTTAACACCTGGGTGAGAGGAGTAATTGAGATAAAGCGCCTTACTCAAGGGCACAACACGCATGGCCACGGCGGGGCTCGAACCCACAACCTCACGATCATGAATCCTGTGCTCAACTGCTAGATCACAAGTGCCCTACTAGGACGATAATTGAAGGGGGTAAATTTGAGCAAATATGAAAGAGATTACCCCTTCTAAATAGTGCGCCCTGGTTTTGTCCGCCATGCTTCAAAAAGGCTGAAATGGTGCATCACTTGCAAACAACCATTTGGAAAGATGTTTTTCTTAGTATTGTTTGTAACCCTTTAAACCCCCAACATGTCTGATGGCTTCAATGTGTTAAGCAACAATCTGGAACCTTTCATATTTGTGGCAGTGGAAACATTCAGTGATTATTTTTCCCTGGATCTGTGGGTGAGTCTGATGAGCCGTAGCGGCAATGGGTTGACTCATTGTTTGTTCCAGTCGTTGCAAGGAAATGGTTAATGGTAGCATCCCATTGTTTGTGCATTTGGTGAGTTTTCATTTTGTTCTTTGTTTCACCGAGACAAACGCATGTAGACCAGGAAAACCACAGAGACAGTGGGATGGTGTTTTTGAGAGGATGCCGCAGATTGGGTCGGCATGGTTACCGGTTTTGACACGGGAAACCAGCCGGTAAGCCAACTCTTATTTAATATCAGTGGATGGGACAGACTTGCTAGTCAGACGTGCACAAGCGTGTGATAAATGTGTCTGTCTCTCTGATATTGCAACAGTATCTGCAATTGCTCTTCAGTGGGTTCAGCCTACTTGTAACCGTTGAAGCACGGGGAACCAGTGGATTGCAGTCTAGTCGATCAGACGTTCCTCTGGGAATTCTGAAATATTTCAACGGACGAGATAGACATATGAGCAGTTTGATTTTGAGTGGTAACTGGTTTAAGAGCAACAAGTAACGAGTGAAATTCAGCTTGTGCAGACTGGTATCCATCGCATTGCAGACTACTTGTTAAAGTCAGACGAGACCAATTTTGACGCGGTCATCGCAGCAGACGTCGGCTGGTAGATGTACCATACATGTTTAAGACTAGTAGGAAAACCGGTTAAGCGCAGGAAAATGATTCATAGAGGTTGCAATTGACAGATTTGTGCATTTTTTAAGTTGAGCTGGGTTGCAATTTGCACCGTCTACGAACAAGGTTCTGCAGTCAACACTACATGATACTTCTTTTGCTTTGTGAATTGTACAGCCAGACAGGTTTGTCTTTTCAAGACTGACTGCGGATTTATCGGAACTCTTGTGAGGGAATCGTTGCTAGTCGGAGAGTTGCAAGTAGAAGAGGGCTTTCGAAAATCGTGCCCATCGTGTCTTACTGGATTCCTGGAGACAATTGGAGGTTTTGTTTAAGGAGGTTTGGAAATTGGAGTTACCATGGCAACGCTGGATCCACTGAAACCCACAATATGGCGGCGTCTGAAGGACCAATTTGGCAAGTTGCTGAAAAGGAAAAGGTGAAGCGGTAGTTACGGGAATTTCGATGGACGTACTGGAAATGTGGTGTGAAAATGTGACTTTGGATAATTCAAAAGTCTTTTCCTCACCTCTGTATGATATTTCAACTCAAACTTTACCATCAGAAGTTGGTGGTTGAAATTAATTTACATTGTAATTCCATAGCCAATTTGTTCATATTCATTATGAACTATACATGGTAGGTGTTTCCTACATACGTGTAGTATGAACGTGTATGAATTTGGACCGTTATGGACTAGACAATGCTAGAGGGTAGAACTCAAACTTTGTATTTTTTCCCTACAGATTTGTAGTTCCGGCTCAGTCTTTTTGTGTACGTGTAAATATTTGGTGGATTTGTACAGTTTATGAATACACGTGTGCCCCTACCGGTACATCGTTTGAACTATGTATATATTGTATAACTTATTTTTTTTACTACTACTATGTTTAACTTTTTGGTTTTTTTCTTTGTTCTTTTTCATATTCTGTGCTGCCTGTCTGACAGTGGGAACAACCAGTTTGGAGCATGCAGGTGAGTTCAATGAAAGTGAAATCTCAGTATGATGCGCATGTACACAAGAAGCTGCTTCTAAAGATTCCTTAACCCTAACGATCCCCAACCAGCCAAACTCCAACACCAGGTTTTTTTGGAATCTGTTAGGATGAGCACTGCGCTAGTAAACTGACTGTGCTTTACGTGGGATTAGGCCTGTACCACAAATAAACAGTCCAACTGTTTATGTGTACAGTTTACCATATGGTGTTGGGATTTGCAAGGATGAAAAAGGTCCCTAGTAAATCACCCCAGGGAATTAACGTCTCCTGAAAACTCTTTCAGAACTCTTCAGAGAGTTAACGTCTTCTGTAAACTGTTTCTATCCTTTTAGCTGGTTAAAGCCCTTGACAGTTATAAAATACATGTACTTTGCAAAACACTCCATATCAATCACAACACTCAAATTTTAACTGGCGCGCTCTGCATGCAACTTTTGAATGGCGCGGCATGCAGTTGCAGCTGGCGGTTGTGAATATCCGAATATTCGGTCAAGCCCGGTTTTGAGTAATTGAATACTATAATCGAAAATGGAGAGCCCTACTTTCGCCATTGAAAAGGGCCAACGTGCTAGAATTGATAGCATGCCTGGAATGGTGCTTGTGTGCTTGGGCAAGGCACTTTACTATGATTGCCTCTCTCCACCCAGGAGTATAAATGGGTACCTGTGAAGTGTACAGACCATATTGCACGGATCTCGAGCTGCTGCAGGGTCTCATTCCTGATGAACAGGAATAATAATTGGGATGCGCATTTGATCATTCTTATGGAATTTGCGCAATATTAACCCTAAACCGAACTCAACCCATCAAAGCCCAACAGCAAGTTTTGTTGAAATCTGTTGAGATAGGTGCAGTACCCCTAAAACTGATGGTCTTTTACATTGCGTTTGGCATACCTCCAGAAACTAAGTCCAACAGTGTGTGTGTACGATTTTCCATGTGGGTGTTGGAATTTGCCAGGATTGGTATGGTTCCTAGTAAATTATGCTAGTGAGTTCTAGGTTAATAGAATTACCCTGGAGTAGACATTGGGAGACATCCCCATAGACTTGTGCACACAATTTTTCAAACTTAAATGTGCCCTTAGAATCCAATATTCCCTTGCCCTTTTTCCACGAATTTCGGTATGTTTACTAATTAGACCACGAGCAACAAATATAATCTAATTGCGACAGTAAAATTTGCCTCTAAAGGGGGGCTGTGACATTAGGGAGACATGAAAATGTCTCCCTAATGACCGATGTCTCCCATTGTACGAAGAAATTACGATAACGTGTCTCCATAATGGTACCTTATTTACACATACCAGTATTATTATTATTTTTATCGGTCTGTACTGGCACACGTCATCCAGTTTTCAAATATTGACAACAACACATCACTGTGACTCACTTCAGAATGTTAAGCAAGTCCGCAAGGACAAAAGGAAATGGCTAACCCATTAATTTGTGGTTGTGCGTCAGTCTCCAGTCCATGTACATAACAGCAAATCCCAAAATTTTTATTAAGAAAGTTTAGCAGACGAAGTCGGTCAGTGATCTTCAACATTTGTATCCATGAAAACCAGTTGGATTCCCTTTTGTTTGGAATTACACTGTACATGCAGTGTTACATTAATAAGGTTCTTACAGGATAGACTGGTTCCTGTCTCCCCCCCCCCCCTTTTTTTTAGAATTGATAATGACTGGACAGGAATTGACAGGAGCCAGTCTACTCACGTTAGCAACCAAATATAAAAGCTTTTTTTTCAGAAGCAGGCACACAAAATAACCCCATTTTTTTCATATTTGCCTGAAAATGTGTTGCTGTACCCCCTGGGTATAAAAACAGCCAGATCCGAAGCGAACTTGTTAAGGCAAGGACAAGTGTCCACAAATGTTGTTGTGACCATTGAGTTGTGAGGCATGATTGAAATTAAATAAAACTCATCGGAATTTAGACCCAAAAAAAAGGAGTATCTGCACAATTAAAAATATTTGAAATTTACTTTATGGTTTTGTAGTTCAAAAATGTTTAGATGGACAATTTTTGGGGGGACTTAATACTGTAAAGTGAGGACGGCGTAGCTTTAAGGTTACGGAAACAAAGGCTATGGCAACATTTTCACCCATTCAACATCACGGTTAGAGAATGTTCTGGTGAAACTGCACTGCTTGGATGCCAGAATAAGTTTTTTTTGTACCGTGTTTGTTTTCAAGATTGGCCACTGGTTTTGTTTTTGGTCATCATTGGTTGGTTGCATTGTTAATTGTGATAGTATTGACTGGGTGGCCTAGATTTTGCACTAGTTAGTCCTGTTATCACCTGACTAGAAGCTAATTTTCCAAAATACTTGCTACAGTAGCTTCTGGTTTCAGGTTTGCTCTGGTTTTGTTTTAAGTCATTGTTAGTTTTGGTTAGGTTAGGTTTAGGTTAGCTTTGGTTTAGGTTTGGTGCATGTGTGCTGGTCGACAGTTCAGCAGTATGGGCTGCGTGCGCCAACGAAAGAGGGCGCCCTTTTACCTACATGTAGCAACGACGTCCCATTGGCAGGACATTTTAGCTGGTTGACGTGCACCATTCCTTGTGAGTGACGCACGTACACCAGGGGATTTGTACTATGTACACGCAGTGGTACGGCTGCGCGTCGTGGCGAAATTGCAGTGAGGCAAGATGGCATCGGTCGGTCACCCCCAACTGTACTTTCTTTGCCGGTGAGGGGGTACTTGTGAATCGAGTGGATACCAGTACACAGTGTCACCAATGACATAATGCCAGTAAGGTGCCGACATGCAAAACAGTCACGCAAGCATCTGTATTGTAAACAGTGACGTCAATAGTAAAAAAAACCAATTTTTTCCCCTCTTTTTCTTGTTAAAGTCGTCATGACTTGACCACAACGTGCACTTTTATTTGAAGGTAGAGTAGATTATTTGCAGCTAACGGTATCCAAAAAGTATATTATGAAAGTACCGGTATGTACAGTTGAAAAGCTTATGGTTGATAGAGGATAGTAATGGCACTAAACTCCCTGTGAAATTATTCTTTCTGGCATGCTGTCATTTTGAAGAAAACAGTAAAAGAAGGCTGTTTCCCAAGATACGCCAAGCGATGCATTTTTTTTCAAAAATTTTCCGCTAGCAGTTGGTTTGTAATTTGGTGAATCCGTGAATGGGTGCATGCAAGCATAATGACATGGCGTGCACGCACGGCTGCTATTATTCGTCGTTTCAGTACGTGACATCGCGTAAATGCAATCGGCTGAATTAGAACGTGTCCCCGGGACGCTGATTTTGAGCTCAATTCAAAACGTGACTCGGCAACTTTTGAATTGAAATCGAGATCCTAGAATATTTACAGCATTTTCAGAGCTAAAACTTCATCAGGTTAGTTGTTAAGAACCTGTCTTTAGATTTCGAGCACTTTTTTTTATTCAAACGGAAATCCACATTTTATACCAAGTCTTATAAATCCATGCTGTTCTGGCACTAATGCGCTGTTGGATGTTTTAAAAAAAAAGAAAAAAAAAAAAGTTTATTTAAAAGTATACTGATTGGATTTGTTGATGACTATGAACAGTGCAGTACAAACTCTCCAATTTTGTGAGGTGGGTTTGTTTTGATCTTAGTTTTGGCCTTTGTTGTGATTTTGGTCAGTTTGGGTTGGGCAGTTGGGAAATACGTGTATAATACAATTAGGCGTGGCTGCAAACGTGCACACTTTACATGTAGGTAGGGGCTGTAGCCGGTTTTACTTTACATCAAACTTTATGAATGAACTATTTTAAGGTACATGTACCTAGGATGAGTAGTGCTTCCTAAACACACTTGCATAAAAATGAAGAGTTTTTAGCAGTTCATTGGATTTGCTCCACACATATTCTGTTAAGGATCTAACCAGTACGTCATATGAGTGCATGTCATTCACTATGTTCACGTCAGTTCGTCAGATTTTTCATATGTTGCGGTATGTACTGGTAAATGTATGTATAATTTTAGTCATGCTGACAAGACAGTGGCTTTCTAGGATTGATGTAACGGACCACGGAGTAGAGGAGGCGAGAAAGGAAATATTGATTTGGTGAATGTGGGAGGAAAACCCCCAGAGAATAACTCGGAGACAAACCAGACATACCGAAGCCTTTCTGTGCCGACTTGTAATTACATCAGGGAAGAGATTTGTTAGGATTTTCCGGATTTCTGGGATTTTTTTTTTTTTTTAATAAAAAAATCCAGTTTGAAATGTGGAATTCGGGAACTTTTGCCTGAGATTTGACCTGAAAATTCCTGGAATTGTAGACAAAAAGGGTATCATAAAGGATGCCTTGAGGCAAATTACAAACATACTCCGCCCCAAAAACCTCTGCCGATTGTTTTGTGGGCTTTTCTTTCTGTAAGGGTTACAAGATAAATTTTAATGAAACTTGGTACATTTTACCCTACATGTAAGTGTATTTCTTGTATTTTTTTTCTACTTTTCAGACATTATAAAAAAAAAAAAAAGTTTTCTTTGATTACACTGAAGTTCAACTGTCAAGTACAGGTGCACGTACATTGTACATGTTTCTTTTTCATTGTTATTTTTTTAACAGAGGCAAGAAGATCCGCAAGTTCTCGGAGAACGATGCCGACATCCGTGCAGGGAGACTGCACTCTGTTGACGAAGGCAGTGGCCAGTTAATATCAAAGGTTTGTAATCTGGAACCCTGCTTAGCACAAGAGAATTGCTTACTCAAAATCGGTTACTGGCTAACATTTAAGGTCATATTGCTGTTAACTGCCAAATTCGGCTAAGTACAAACACTTTTGATGCCAAAGGCCTTTGGTTACTTTTGTTGGTTCATGGGCAGAGTTGTAGCCGAGTCCATCACAAGTCCATACAAGTCCGTTTTTCTTACCATTGCACTCATAAAACATTTATTACTTGTATATTATACAACACCTGAATAAATCCCCGTCATCTGATTGGTGGATCGTTGATCACATGTCATTGAATTATTTGTCTTAACGCATGGTGCGTGCGCGCGCGATGCACAGTGCAATGGAAGTTCTATTGCACGGTGAATGGAACTTCCATTACACGGTTTCAGTGCTGCCGGTGGTGGAGCTGTGACACGAATCTATTTCACAAAATGCGGATGTTAACGCAAGACTGAAACGCCGTTTGTTCTCTTAACAAAAGATGAAATATCAGAACTTGTAGGTCGGCTGCCAACACAAAGAAGCAAATAAAATATGCTGCCAAACGATTAGACAAATTTGCAAAAACATACAGGAACATCTGTTGAAGCATTATACTGATTCATAACTGAACAACTTCTTGTCGAGATTTTACTCAGGACTGAGAAGAGAAAACGTGGCACACTATATCAGATGATGAGGGTTTATTCAGGTGTTGTATAAAACAAATAATGAATGGTTCACATTCGTGCAATGGTAAGAATACAGATGGTATTCTTACCATCTTACAATGGTAAGATTCCAGATATAGAAATTATCTGTTATTATTATTATTATTATTAAGAATAATTCGCCTTGTGAAATGGAACATTTCATCTGTCACCTCATGACTTGTGATCAACTTGTCACCGGACTTGTGATGAATCTGTGATGGTATACAAAAAAGTGAATGTTTATGAGTGCAATGGTAAGAATAATTTCACGAGGTGACGGACGGAATGTTACAGCTAGTGCAATGGATCATCCCATCGGTCACCCAATATCCATTGCACGAATGTAAAACATTCATTATTTGTTTTATACAACGCCTGAATAAATCTTCATCACCTGCTTGGTCAGAGCCGCCAAAAGTGTGACCGTGCAATGGAACTTCCATTTACTGTGGAATGGAACTGTGCGCACAATGAAACACCGCGCACAACTTTTTGATTACCAAACGCGGTTTCGTCGATAGCACTCTTTATTCCAAAAATCAGCCGGTTGGAAATCACCTACATTTCTTGATTTCTTCTAAATGACAGCAAACCTAATGGATAATTTCACACGTTACTAAAATTAGCACAGGTACGATCTAATCCGAGTAAGCTTTTGGGATTCATGCAAATGATCATATGCCTTCAATATGACAGGTATAAAAGCTGTTGCTGAGGGAAATTGCCAAAATTGGCAAATTATTTACTTGTTGTTTGTCCGCAGGTGCCTCTCACGACAATAGAAAGCAATGGCGAAACCAACCTTAGACGGAGAGCGAGTCTCCGCATTAAGAAGATGTCCTCTTCTTCGTAAGTATTATATTAATCACATGTACCTTCTAACCCTAACCGCCCTGAATCCTTCAAAATCCTCTTTGCCAAAGTGGAGGAATTTGAAGGATTGAGGTTACATGTACATGGCAAAAGTGCGTTACTAATTTCGTAGGATGCACTTTGTCAAGGTCTTGGGCTGGACCTTGTGTTGTTTTTGCTCAGCCATGCATAAATATAGGCCTGGATTATGCTTGAAATCCTCCGTACTGCTCCAGGATGTCACTGGCTAAGCCTCAACATATTGACAGTCACTGCCGCAGGATTTTGCAGGATTCAGGCAGTGGTCACCCCTCCGCAGACCATATTCAAGAAATAATGGAGGACTTTGCAGGATTAAGCCTAATACTATTTTTCCATCAGGCCAATTGGAGGATTTTGCAGGATTGAGGCTACATCCTTGAAAAAAGGCCTAGGGAGCATGGGCGTCGCAAGGGGGGGGGGGGCACTGCCCCCACCCCCTGGAAAGCAAAAAAGAAAAAGAAGAAAAAAAAAAGAAAAAAAGAAAAGAAAAAGAGGCGCAAAGACAAAGTGGTGTAAATTTAATGAGTTGGGGGGGGGGCAAAATGTCCCTGCCCCCTCTAAAACTGATAAATCGAGAATGTGTTGAGAAATACAAGCATTTTTGGGCAAAAAAAATGTTTGCCCCCCTCTAGAAAAAATCCTGGCGACGCCCATGCTAGGGAGTCAGGGTTAAGGAAGCCTGTCTCATCAGTGTTTATTTTCTTTGGGTTACTGTGAAACTGTTTGATAAAATTTCCTCTTCAAATTAGAAAGTGGAAGTAGGAAGATATTGACATTATTAAACAGAATGCCTCCAAAATTACACAATCAATCCCTGGACAAAAGAGTGTCAATAGAGGTCACGTTATGAGGAAATGATTTGATTTGGTAAACATCGGTCCAAAGTCCATGTTTCCATTTTAAATGCATCCAGAGGTTTCGTGAAAATGAAATTAGCTGAAAATCTTTCGTCTATCCTGAGGCAAAAACAGTCATTCAAATCGATGACAGAATTTTTTGTCACAATTTCTAAACTTTACACCAAAAAGTAATACTTTTGACAACACAGTCACATAACAATTAGCTGAAAATCTTTTGTCTATCCTGAGGCAAAAACAGTCATTCAAACCGATGACAGAATTTTTCGTCACAAGTTTAAAAAGAAATTGTACACCAAAAAGTAATACTTTTGACAACACAGTCATCATTACAATGTATACATTTACATTTAGAATTCACACTTCATTGGTCACGTTATGAGGAAATGATTTGATTTGGCAAACATCAGTCCAAAGTCCATGTTTCCATTTTGAATGCATCCAGTGAAAATGAAATTAGCTGAAAATCTTTTATCCTGAGGCAAAAACAGTCATTCAAATCGATGACAACAATTTTTTGTCACAAGTTCAAAATGAAATTGTACACCAAAAAGTAATACTTTTGACAACACAGTCATCATTACAATGTATACATTTACATTTAGAATTCACACTTCATTGGTCACGTTATGAGGAAATGATTTGATTTGGCAAACATCGGTCCAAAGTCCATGTTTCCATTTTTGAATGCATCCAGTGAAAATGAAATTAGCTGAAAATCTTTCGTCTATCCTGAGGCAAAAACAGTCATTCAAATCGATGACAAATTTTCGTCACAAGTTCAAAATGAAATTGAACACCAAAAAGTAATACTTTTGACAACACAGTCAACATTACAATGTATACATTTACATTTAGAAAAAATCAAACAAAACAAAAAACAAAGAGCAATTTGGAACTAGACTTTTGTACTTCAAAAAAGTAGAGAATCTGGTCCCCAATTACACTCAGACACTTACTCAGTTCAGATTTAAAGGCTTTGGATCATTTGCACTTCATGCATTTTGTTCGTTGCAATAATAACACCACTCAAAAATTCAAAGAAAAATGTTCAAAACCTAATCCGTTCCAGTTTCATTTCAGTGGATATTACGCTTTTTGAGAAAACAGTGAAAAACCATGCACAACCTTTTCATCACGAGACTTGATTTCTTTTAATATTACTCTTTTTTCCAACAATCATTCTTGATTTCTTCTAAATGGCAGTCAGCCAACCGGAATAATTTCACAGGGTGTTTAGTACCAGTACGATCTTTAATCCAAGTACATGTAAGCTTTTTGATAATAATTTGGTAGGTTACTTTTGGGATAAATGCATACATGTATGATCCTACTGGTACTGTGTATGTGCCTTTAAAGGAAATATACATTTGCAAACATCAAAAAACAAAACTACCAAATTATTATGAAATACCTTAATGGACTTTTAGTGAATGGCAGTCTAAAGCATCCTGTAAAATCATGGCACCTGGTGTGCTGTCATTTTCAAGAAAAGTGGTATTTTTGTATCAATTTCCAACGTTGAATGGCCAACCAGCGATGAAAAAAAAGGTGATTTTTTTTTCTTCAAATACTGTCCCAAATTTACCATATTTAGTTAAACCACATTTTGTTTGCGATCGATTACACACCTATGAACGTACAAGCCAGCTACACTGGTTCCCTGACTTTACAATTGTCCTACATCTATATAATTGTTCTGTTTAATCTTAAGTGGGGTCAGGAACCAGACTACAGGAAAATTATTGTGTTTCTTGTTTTTCCAGCATCTACGAACTCAAAACTTCAAACAAGTCAGTGTAACAATATTTGCTATAAAATACTTAGCCCCCAAATCCATCCATTTCTGAAAATTACAGCAAAAGCAAATGATGTGTAAATTCCCCTTAAATGACAAAAAATATATTTAGGTACTTCGGTGAATCAGTGACTCATAATACAAAAACAGAAAGTGGATTTCTGCCCATTGTATCGGGACAGCTTTTGTTTCATCTTTCCAGTATTCACTTCCTCAAATCCGTCTTCCTGTTTTTCAGCTGCGCAGTAGCTGAGGTCTTCGGCTGTTTAAACTACAAACTCTTTGTCAAAACAATGCAAAGCTATTGTCTTCAAGCTGCGAAAATTATGTACCAGTATGTGAATATAAATAGTTGACAGGCATGCAATTTTGCAGGGATTAGCTGGTTTCCTTGTTTTTCACTTCACACTTAGGTCATTAAAAATCGAAAGACATAGCATAAAGTATAGTAAGATCAGTTGTTGTCAAGCAAACAAGAGAAAACCAACCAACCATGGCATTGTCTATTTATTTGACTTTGACTAAAAATACCTATTTGAAAATCAACCACACGTAACAATTGTGAACAATCAGCCGTAGGTTCACAATTGTTACGTGTGGTTGATTTACAAATAGGTATTTTTAGTCAAAGTCCAATAAATGGACAATGCCATGGTTGGTTGGTTTTCTATTGTTTGCTTGAGTGACTGGTCTTTCATAATAGATACCAAGTAGAATTTTTGAAAAGCACACTTGACAAAAATCAACATTTTAAAATTGGTGATTTGAGTCCCCAGCGCAGTTGTCAAATGGAGGCGAGTTCATATTTGAGCATTTCTGTCCCTAGTGGATTGAATGATAGTATAATCCAATTTTTTTGGTAGATAACAACCAAAACACATTCTTACCATGCATAATAAAAAAATTTATGCATTCAGGTTTGCTTAAATTTGTAAAAAAAAGGAGAGTGGAGCATTTTTTTGGGACACCCTGTACAGCTATGCTTTGGCTGTAGAAGATTGATAAGCCTACCAGTTTACCTGCTTGTGTCTGTTAATGGAATTTAACTAGTCACTGTGCCTAGAGAAAGATGACCTGACTGTTGGTGACTAGCCCTGTAAAAGGCAAGGAAGGGGAGGTGGAATGAATTTTTGACTGTCTGTGACTGATCAAACAAAAGGAGGGTTGAAATGTTCTTGTTAGGCACTACATGTACAACATACCTTCTGTTTGTTTCTGACCGATCAAAGCCTTGAAAAACAGTCAGACAAATAGAACGCACACATTTTGTCATGATTAAGTCTTGAATTTGTCAAAGTAAAACGATCACTTTTCATTGAATGACAACACATCTGATTGATTTTTCCACATACCCAGGCTCCAGTAAACAGGCATGCAACTTTTCCGCGGATCCGCTGATTTCCTCGTTTTTTTACTTTTCATTAATGTCATTACCAATTGGAAAATAGTGTACAAAATCTTGTGTGGTTTCGAATTTACTGGGGTTTTTTCTAAATTACCAGACTTGACTGAGTAAATGTTGATGTGTTTTTGAAAGCAATTGTTGGAATTTTGCCCGCAGAATACCCTACACATACAAAACTTCAAAGGTGCTGAAAATTGACATTATTTGGTTGAATTGGGAGAGAGGGTGTTCTAATCTTATGCCTCGCAGTGTTTTCGACAGTTTTGCAGTATTTTTCCATGTAATCGTATCCGTTTCCTGTACTGCAGTTCAGCTGGGTGCCGTCTGGTACCCAGGCTCCCCGGTGTGATCACACTATGGGTCCCCGCCCTTCACCCTGCTCCCTTAACCTTAAACCCTAAAAAGTGCAGTGTCGAAAATGGCACAAGGTGATGTCAAATGATTAAAGTAGAAGAGTGTTAACTACTGGTTTGGCAATTCACTGTTAAAAAAAAGGCAAACTGGAGATTGGCATTTGTTGATTTACAAACGCAGAGTGGTCGGGCAGACAACTATTTCATTAGACACAGCCCAGTTATTAAAGTTGGGAATATTTTTTTTATGTCGGAACAGAAAAATGATCACCAAATTTAGCCTAAGTTCCAGTATAACCATTTGTTTGTTTTGAAAAAATAAAATGCTTCTATGGGGAATAGTAGGTTTCAGTATGCATTTTATGTACACATACCGTACACGTTATTTCCGGTTTCATTACGTCAGCAGTTACAGTATGCAAGCAGAATACTGAGAGGGTACATGTTCATCGTGAGGTGAAAAGAACTTATGAAAATACGGAAATTACATATACAATTAATGTTGAAGTGTATAAAACAACACCTACATGTAGCTGTCAGTTTGAGGATGTCGGAGCCTTTTCAAGCCAATTGTCAAAAATCGTGTCAAGGGTAAAGAAACGTGCTCTATCATCTCATGGTAATATTTTAAAAAACAAAACAAAACAAAAACAAAAAAGTACGATTTGAGGCTTTGCATGGTGGAGATACTAAATAATGAAAGGTTTGCGGAAACGCCATGTGTGAATAATTTCTCAACTAAGAGAATGGTTCTGAAAAGAACCAGAGGTATAAACTCGACGTTCCAGTCAGTATGCTCTGACCGTCTTCAGGAGAATGTCAGAGCAGTCTCCTGAAGACGGTCAGAGCATACTGACCGGAACGTCGAGTTTATACCTCTGGTTCTTTTCAGAACCATTCTCTTACTTGAGAAATTATTCGCACATGGTGTTTCCATTCATTTAAAAACAAAAAAACACAATTTAGTTTCCTCAGAAACATGTTGTTTGACTGCTACATTTTATTTGGGACACTCTGTATAACCATGAGACATGTACGCACTGAGTACAAACTTAGGATACACAAGGTATGCAAGTGTGTAAACACCGGCAATCGTGGACCCCCCATTGTCCCTAATCCTCATTCCTTTGTTTATACTCTAACTTTTTAGGAACAGCTCTCGTTGGTTTTGTACACGAATTTAAATTGTGGACTATCGGTCAATCATGGGCCCTTTGTTTGTGCCCTAACCCTTTTGTCCCTAGTCCACTATTACCAGTGTTTACATACTCATGTACAGTAGCATCATCATTCATTAGTTTAACTGCGTAGAGAAAAAAAAACAAAAACAAAACATCTCTTCATTGTAAAGTTATGCTGGACGATGTTTAAGTCATCACTAATTCCTTTTGCAGAACTTGTCTACCGGTAGGTTCAAGCTCGTGTGTGCGAGAGTACCGGTATTTGCTTAATTGTAAAGTGTGACACCAAATCTATCATTGTACTTGATTGGCGTTTGAGGAGGAAATTTAAACAATAGTTCTTTGCCTTCTGTCAGTATGAAACCGAAACACAGAGGTACATGTACATGTATAAATAACTCATCTACACAAGCACACGTATACATGTACACGAACATGTTTATTTGTCAAATGTTCACTATGGAAGCAAGCTTGAATATCTGTATACGACATTTGCAGACTTGTGCGCACTGCATCTCCAATGAAAGGCTCGTTTTCGATCAGTTTCATTTCGACTTTGTTTTAGTACATGTTCTGTACATTGTATGTTCATGTTCAGTCATTGTCAGCTAGCACTACGTGTACACGAACATGAACTAAACTTTTCTCTGAACTAAATGGAACATTGCCATGAGTTTTGCGTAATGTGTTCTCGCCGCCTCAAACGTTCGATTGACGTTGTCGTGTGGCCTGTCTTTCATGATGATACCACAGCATTTGGACATCATGCCTGATCTTTTAAATGTAGGAAGCTAATCTCCTAGGCTTGTACTGTTGGTACTTCACAAACTGGCGATCATCAAAGTGGTCTGGATTTTAGGCAGCCAATTCGTCCCCAGAAAGGTTTCATCAACAAGTGTTTAGAAATTGAAAATTGTGGAGAAATTTTGTGCATCAGTATTTCTCACCTGGAGACAATACATCATGTGATGCTGCGCAGTGCCATTTGAAAGACTACTCAAAGTGTGATGACATCCCGTAGTTTCTGGTGATACCAGGTATCGCTATGTGATTGAAGTGACATCGCTGACAAGTCTTAACCTGGTTTGATGCTTCAGCTTCGTGTGGAGCTGTGTGATGTCATCATCTGAACAGTTATTATCGATAAAGTACATATCATCACTGTTTGATTCGCAGAGCATCACTGACAGTGTGTAACTTTAAATGATATCTATGATAAATATCAATGCTACGTGATGTCATTGGCATTGCTGTGCGCTAAGATGATACCCCACACTTGTCAAAACAGCCTGCATTGTGTCTTGCTGCTCGATGTCATCACGCCCGCAGTTGATAATCGATAAACTGGGCTCAGAATTTCACTTTAAAGTCGTCACCGCCAAAAAAAGATGGACAAATCCAAGTTGCGATACCTGTTGTCTTGCGTCGGTCAGCCGGAAGAGGACGACGATCGCTTGTCAATCGTGGAAGAAGACGTCCTGAATGAGGAGTACAGGGAAGGAGCGACCGCCACGGGTTGCCATGGCACTGATAATGTGGGCGGCGGTCTCTTGGCCGACCCTGATGAATCATCGCTTGAGGAGGGAGAAGGGCAAGTTGTTCTAGGCGCATCCTTCTTTAGCCCCCATCTTTTTTGGTGGTATTTTTTGGTCAGTAACTGGTCGGTAACATCTACGAGGTAGATGTACAATGTGTTACATGTATATGGTTTGTCTTCAATGTGCTCGACTTTCATTGCAAGCAGGCCATCAAAGCACCCGTTTTTGGTTGTCCAAGTACCGGTAGTCTGCATAGAGCCCTCACATGTATTGACCTATCGCCGTTTGCGAGTTAGCCACGCCCCTTAAACAACCCTATGGAGTTTTCGTACACTAAGTTTTGTTTGTCTGAGATTTTCCGCATTCCGCGTCCATTCGTATATCATGTAATTGGACAATATTTCACAAGCTGCGTTGACGCGATTCTACCGCGATAGGTCAATTATTATTCAGAACCCTGTCAAAAGTGGTAGTAGTGCAAATTTGCCCTTTTTGCCTTGTGTGTTTGCTAAAGTCGCTACATACATGTACATGTACATGTAACTGTTAACTTACTATGACAACTACACCTACACGTATACAACTTATAACATCTGGGCCCAATTTAATGGCTATAGGCTAACCATTAGCGAAAAATCCCTGCTTAATGTAACCGAAAATTCCGTGCTTATGGTAAGCGTATTTCACAGGTTAACAAGGAATTTGGGCTTCTACGCATGCGTACATCCCGTAACTCAGAATTCGGTGTTTACAGGGTTACCACAGAAATTTCTGCTAGTGCGTTTAGCACAAAAATGGCGATCGTAAGCACGGAATTCTGTGGTTAGCAGAGCCAAGAAATTGCGCCCTGTCAAGTCACTATTTTAATGTTGCATACATGCAAACGTATAAGTGTATAAGCATTACATTCACTGTGTGGACTTCCGAACAAAAGAGGTCCACATAAACCAGGTAGCAGCGACATTGTGTGGACTTGCCCACGCCCACACAGTGTTTCCCCCTCTCTGGAAAACAGGTTTAGAGGCATTTTGTGGGTTAGGTTTATCCGTGGCAAAATGAAGAGAAATCCTAAAGGGAATCATAAAAAAAACTTTGGGTTGAAAGAGTTTTCACAGTGTGAGTAAAATGAGTTTTTGGACAGGTTTTTCTTAAACTACACGAAAGAAAAGGAATGTCCACACTAGGTGTGTAACGTAAACATGTGATCTGATACACCGTGCCCTCTGGAGACGTGCACACAATAGGGAACAAAAGATTGTATACGTCTCCACAGGGCAATTTCTATAGATGAATATGTCTCCACAAGGTTTTCACGAAATAGATATATTGATATTTACTCAAAAACTAGGAATTTCCAAGGTGGGTTGATCTGTCGCAAATGGAAGAGTTTTAGAAAAGGGATATTAAGTCCAAACTTCAGCCTAGGAAATTAATTCTGGTTAAAATGAGAGCATTTTGAAACTTCACTTTCAAACTCGAAAACTTTACTACACGAGAACAAAGAAATGTCTCCACAAGGATACAAAGTCCAGTATGTGTGTGTGCCTGCAACGTGTCTGTTTCCACACAAAAAACACTACAAAACTAAATATATCTTCCTCAAATATTCTGTTGATATACACATGTACATTATGGTTAAGTAAGATTTGAGGCTTTGCATGGTGGAGGTACTAAATAATGAAAGGTTTGCGGAAACACCATGTGCGAATAATTTCTCAACTAAGAGAATTTTCTTTAACTACACGAAAACAAAAAAATGTCCACACTAGGTGCGTAACGTAAACATGTGATCTGATACACCGTGCCCTCTGGAGACGTGCACACAATAGGGAACAAAAGATTGTATACGTCTCCACAGGGCAATAGAGTGTATACATGTACCTCTGGTTCTTTCAGAACCATTCTCTTAGTTGAGAAATTATTCGCACATGGTGTTTCCGCAAACCTTTCATTATTTACATTATGGTTGTTGGCATCACTTTCTGCATAGATTCCAGCCTGTCACCCAAATCGATGAACAAATCGCTAGTTGTTGCACTGCACCATCGCGAAATAACAACAGTAGCACACAAAACACACAACACTGGAATTTCATGTTTCTAGACACAACCTCCCTAAGAATGCTAAACATACTTGGTACGTGTAACTTGTACCGTCAATCACATTGTGTATTAATGTATAACCTTGTTGTCTATTTAACACAGATTTCATGACGGGACCAGTCGCTTTCCCAAGCTCAACGACTGCGCCCACTTCCACTACGACAACGTTGAGCTGGGACAAATCACGGTAAGTCGAAAATATAATATGGTTTATCCTCAGAATTGGGCACCTTCCTGCAAAACATTGTTGTACACTACACTGATATAACATGTTTTGAGGGCAGATGTACAATGTTGTATACAAATATTAAGTGGCTCAGGGTGGAATGGGAGGAATATTAGGGCCCCCCCCCAAAAAAAATTTCCAAAATGTTCCGCGGTAGCTCCAACAGCGCCCTCTATTTCCGCACCTCATTTTTTTTTTACCAAAGAGCACCAAGGAATGGGTAATTGCACCAAGGCAAATGATCGAAAGCACCAAAGCAAATTATGGAGGACACCAATGTACATGAGGACACAAAAAAAGCAAAATAGTACCCCACCTTGTCTGTACAATCCAAGCTTGAAGAAAAAAAAAAGGCGTGTGGCCGTGTCAATTCCGGAACTTTGGCCTTATCACAAGATAAAATCTGGACTTTTCTAGCCAAGTGAAATAAAAAAGTTCAGATTTTACCGAGCAGTAATATTCCTCCCATTTCACAATTTAAAGCCACTTAATATTTCTTTTATATAACTGACTTATAGATCCTTGTCATTTTATTTACAGTTAAAATGAGCTTGTGTTCTATACAAAATTGGGGGGAAATGGATTCTCACTTCCAAAGCATCCCTTCACAAAAATGTTTGAATCCATCTCTGTAGGTACTGGCTCTTGGGAACAATACGTAGAACGCTCAAAGCGCACACCAGCATGCATTTGCACACAAATAGCGCGCCATGGAACAAGGATGCATGATCCTAACTGTTGAATAGCCCTGGGCAGCGTTTACAAGAAATTTTTATCAGAAATCGCCAACTGCGTACCTTTGGGACGCAGGTACTTCCCCCACTACGCAAGACCCTATCCATGTCAAAACAACAAAAAGCCACGTGCCAGACGGTGTCCAGGCATTTGCCAGACAGGGCACTTAATAGATAATTGACTGGTGGCTGCGGTTTGCGGCTATGAAGGGAGATGGCTGTGTCAAGTTACAGGTGTTTGTATATGTTTCAATGAGACTTGGCGGGAGGCCTGGTCCCAAGGTTGTTGACGCGGCTCGGGTGAAACCCTGGCTGCAAAGTTCATTGAACCAGCTGATTTGGCATGGGTTGAATGAGGATTAGATGGAAGGTGAACGTCATTGGCCCTCAATTTTTTTATTTTTTTTCAAAAAATTTGGTCGCCTGCGTACCTGGGGTACGCAGGTCACTCCGCGCAGGGATAGTCAATCCCATTCACCATGGGCCAATGGGACTTTTTGAGCCCCGGCGTAACTGAATGGAAGCAATAATGAAACCCAAATGTCGGGACCATTGTTTTAGTGAAGTTCTGCATGTAGCACTTTCAAAATCTAGGATATGAAAGCCCGATTCATAAGAGTACAGAAACCATTCAAATCACTCATGTACTTTTCAAGTTACGGAATGTTAAACACAACCGTCGTTTTAAAGTTCTGTCCACGGATGACAGAAAAGGTGTGCGTTCTTTCAGCAAAACGAAAACAGCTCACACACATCCCTATGTGATTTGTTTTCGTTTTGTTAAAAGAACACTTTCCTTTTTTTTGTGATCTGTGGAATGAACTTTAAAGCGGTGTTCGTGTTCAAAATGCCGTAACTTGAAAAGTACATGAGTGATTTGAGTGATTCTTGTACTAAAAGAAAGCTCATTGATTGGGCTTTCCTATCCTAGATTTTGAAAGTGCTACAGGCAAAATTTCATTCAAAAATTGGTCCTGCCATAAGGGATGTGTTTTTTTTACTCACCCTGTAAAAATACATCACTGAAGAGGAAAACCAGGTAATAAATAATGAAAGGTTTGCGGAAACACCATGTGCGAATAATTTCTCAACTAAGAGAATGGTTCTGAAAAGAACCAGATTTATAAACTCGACGTTCCGGTCAGTATGCTCTGACCGTCTTCAGGAGAGAGTTTATAAATCTGGTTCTTTTCAGAACCATTCTCTTAGTTGAGAAATTATTCGCACATGGTGTTTCCGCAAACCTTTCATTATTTAGTATCTCCCAGTGTTTCCCCTGCCCATTCAAACATGAGGTGGCCCACCTCGCTACTTTCAGTGACCACCTCGCTCAATTTTTGCCAATATCACCACCTCGCTGTGAAGATTGGCAAAAAAGGAAATATCAATTGAAAAAAGATCATTTTGTGTAATATATGAGCATTTTCCTTTACCTCCATGTATCAAGAACTCACAATTTCGATGTGTTTTTGGAATCATCGCGCATTTTTGTGAGCGCTGCATTCTTTTCAGTTTGCAGACTGTAAATTTCGTTTCAATCATCAACTTGAATTGTTACCACCTCGCTCAGTTCATTAGCCAGGGGAAACACTGGTATCTCCACCATGCAAAGCCTCAAATCTTAGGTATCGATTTGTTGTCTCTTTTGCCACGTGTTCAGCTATCTATGCACGAGGATCCGGACCACGAAGAGGCCCTACTCCTGGCCTACCAGCAGAACGGCGGCTGCGAGCTGGCCGATCACCCCTTCACCATCAAGGTCTACAGCAACGGCAAGGTCTGGCTGGTCAAGCGCTGCTACGAGGACTTCCGGGTGCTGGACAAGCAGCTGCACAGCTGCATCTACGACAGGCGCTTCAGCCAGCTGGTGGAACTGCCCAAGGGGGACGCCATGCTGGGCAACCGAGAGGTGGGTCTGCGCCTGGAAATTAAGGTTGATTTATTATAGCAGTCGCGTGATAACGATTGTCCGATCGATGATGGTCACTCATTTTGGGGCAGTTTACAGTCATGGCGTGACATTTGTGAATATAATAATAATAATAATAATAATAATTACCCTGGATTGGACATTTGGGAGACATCCCCATGGACTTGTGCACAAAAATTTTCAAACTTAAATGTGCCCTAACCCAATATTCCCTTGTCCTTTTTCCACGAATTTTGGTATGTTTACTAATTAGACCACAAGCAACAAATATAACCTAATTGCGACAGTAAAATTGAGCCTCTAAAGGGGTTTGTGACATTAGGGAGAAATGAAAATGTCTCCCTAAGGACTGATGTCTTCCACCGTTCGAAGAAATTACGATAGCGTGTCTCCTTAATGGTACATTGTACATTTAGTCGTATAATAATAACAGGCATTTATATAACGCTTTTAAACGCGGTATCAAAGCGCTGTACACTTGTTATTACCCCTGTTCAACGGGCAAACACTCCTGAAACCTCAACTCCCAAAGGAGCATACACGGCCGGCAGACGGCCATTTTGGCACTCTTGGCCGTAATCAACCTCGCACAGTAACCAACTCTGCCCACACAAGTACCTATCTACTCCTGGGTGGAGAGAAGCAATGAGTGGCAAAGTGCCTTGCCCAAGGGGGCACCTCTTGCGCATTCATTGTTAAAGCTACAGTCCATCATTTGCAGCTTTCCGAAAAAAGTAACTGACGTAATTATTGTTGAAAAACATACTTGTACTTGATTGAAAGATAGTAAGGGGACTATGAAATTATTCTTTCCGGCAAGCTGTCATTTTGAACAAATCAACAAAAGAAGGCCTTTCCAACGGTGCGTCTAAAGACGCACCGTTGGAAATTTCCGTTTGTAGTTCATTTTTTTTATTCGGCGAAGCGCGCAAGCGTTGGCACAACGCACACGCACGCCCGGTTGCTATAATTCGTCGGATCGGGGCGCGACATCGCATAGCTGCAATCAGCTCAGTGAGAACTTGTCTCGGACGCTGAGTTCAAAACATGATTCAGTAACTTTTGATTTGAAATCGAGATCCTAGAATGTCAGTAACTTTTGATTTGAAATCGAGATCCTAGAATGCTGTTTTTCTCGGAATATACAGCTGAAACTGAGCTGAAAGTTCATCAGGTTAGTTGTTCAGCACCCTTCTCTAGATTTTGAGCACATTTGTTGCTTCAAACGAACAATATGCACAAATTACAAATGATGGACGGTACCTTTAATGAACATAAACAAAACACACCTCAAAGATGGCTACAGCATGCCATTTTGCTCCATTCGGGAGGTTGCAAGATCAAACCTAGCAGTCAGTGTCTCAGTCAGGCAGTCAATGGGTCAGTGTCTCGGTGGTCAGCCCGTCAGTATTAGTCCATCTGGCAGTCGATGGGTCAGTCACTGTCAGAGAACAACAGGCTGACCCTTGAGGTCCAACGAAACCAAAGTCTTACCGATTACTAATGTAATGTCTTTTCTCATCTGGCTCCCTCCTTCAGGGTGTGCGGGGAATCCTGAGCCGGTATCTGGGCCGATTCTCGCAGATAGCTGGCGACATGATCAACTGTGGACCAGTCCTGAACTGGATGGAGGTAATGATAAAAACAGCTAAGCAATCAAGCAGTGTTAGTTAGCATCAGGGCACATTCTGTCAGACCTGCTTATCGCAATTCCAGCGTTATGAAAGCAGTGTAATGTCCTTGACAAAACCAATTAACCATGATATCTAATTAATGATTCAGAAAAATGATCCAAAACTCCTAGTGGGTAATCTTCTTGACCATTGATGATGGATGTATAAGATTTCGAAAAATACATTTTCAGGTTAATTCAATGAGCTCTTAAAAGCTCTGTGACGGACATCACATACATGTAACACTGGAATTGCCACTTAGCAGAAAATAGCGCTTAGCAAATTTAGGCTTGGACGATTATTTCAATAAGATATTTTTTTCGAATACCGAGCAGTACCGAATGATGTTAACATACCAAAATACCCCCAAAATCTGTAGGGAATTATAACCAATATTTTTGCTAACTAGCCATCCAGAAGAGCCTTTGGATCCCTGCTGGCACCCGCTTATTTGTAATTTTCCCATCCCACGTAACACCGACTACCACGGTAAAACCTTCAGGTAAACCTCAAGTTAGAGGCAGTAACTCGAGGTTTTACCCTGAGGTACCCCAGCAAACCCTGTCAAACCTTGAAAATCCTCGAGGTAAACCTCAAGTTACAAAACCTCAAGTTACAGGCGGTAACTCAAGGTTTTACCCTGAGGTACCCTTGCAAACCCTGTCAAACCTGGAAATCCTCGAGGTAAACCTCAAGTTACAGGTGGTAACTCAAGGTTTTACCCTGAGGTACCCTTGCAAACCCTGTCAAACCTGGAAATCCTCAAGGTAAACCTGAAGTTACAGGCGGTAACTCAAGGTTTTACCCTCAGGTACCCCACAAAATCCTGTTAAACCTCATATAACCTTGAGGTAAAGCTTGAGGTACATGTACCGCCTGTTTAATTTTGCATTGTCCCCTTACTTAGCCTTGTGATGAAACATTTCTTTGATTGACTTATCAAAATCATGGGTATTTTTTTTCACGACATTTACTTGTAGAATCCTTTTAACCGTTACAGAAATCCTGGCAAGTTTACAAGGTACATACCTGTACATAAGATCAAAGGCATAGCATTCAGCACATGGACTGATACATTTTCATTGTCAAAACGGTAACTGGGCCCAGACATATAAAAATATCTTGACTTAAAATGAGATAAGTAATTTTTTTTTACTTTTCTTCAAATTTCCTGTGAAGATTGACAATCATGGCCATGCGCTGAAGGTAACGGACATGAACCTCGCAATATCACCTCCTTTGCATGCTTGTGTCAGCAGCTTTCTTTATTTATTTGGTTGTGTATACATGTAGGTTGAATTTTATGTTTTAGAGTAATGCAGTGCCTGTAACGGCACATTTCTGTTGTTGTCTGTGAAAGCTTTTGGAAGAGAATCCAGTTTCTTTACGGAATACATGTACATCACTCTAGTTCTATGGCAAAGTAAGGGGGTATGGGGGAGGGGTACGGGCTCCAATGGAGGTCCCCCCCCCCCCCCCCCCCCGCCCCATTCCTCACTCAGAATTTGGAAAGGCAGAAGTGAAAATGATATTGTGTTTCTTGTCATATGGGTATTTTAACAAACATACAGGGTGGTCCAAAGAAAAAGGTTCCACTTTTCAGACGGATATTTCTCAAAATTGGGGAGACATGTTGAAAATGTTTTAAGATATTCCTTAACTACAAGATCTTTGTGGTATACGGTACATGTGTGTACATGTACATGTATACGGTGAAAACGGCATTGAAAATAAAGCCTACATTTGGAAATGGCGGCCATTCACAGAAAAACAGTCAAAAACCAGTTGGTCCAGTGCGTGTATGAGATATGATTACTGTTATTGCAGTTCTTTGTGCCCGCAGTGCTATTGTTTTGACCATACATGTATCTCATTATCTTGCATGTGGACAAATTGGTTTTGGACGTTTTTTTCTGTAAATGGCCATCGTTTCTTAATTTAAGCATTACTTTCAAATGCCGTTTTCACCTTAAAACACCAAAATCTTGTAGTTAAGGAATGTCTTAAAACATTTCAACAGGTCTCCCCACTTCTGAGAAATCTGCGTCTGAAAAAAGTGTAATTTTTGGGACCACCCTGTGTACCATAGACCCTACGCGGCTCCAAAGCTCTCGGCGAACCTCTGCTGATTATTTTGTGGATTATTTTATGGATTTTTCATTGTCCCCCAATGTCCCCCATGTACAAAGTCGCTTCAAGTCACTCATTACAAAGTAAGTCACTCTCTGCTTCAGCACTTGCTGAAGTTTTGGACTCTAAATCAATTGAACATACATGTACATGGATACGTACAAGTGCAATTATGTGTATGCACATTTGTGAGGCCTTCTCTCAAAGTGAGATACCGGTACAACTGGGCAGAGGTCGAAATGAGGGTTTGCAGGTATTAGGAAAGAGAAAGAAGTTCTCCATGGTGTAATACTGTTTGTTGCACTTTCATGGGACATTCCAATGACTAGTTATGGCTATTACAAGTTTGCACTTACCGAAATGTCAACAAGTACAATGTTGAGAAAAAAAGGCCTTTAAAGTTTCAAGTTTTTGTAGTCGTGCAAATGAAAGATGCCAACTGCTTTCCCTTCAAAACACCTTTAGTCCACGATTTTGCATACTATTTCTTTTAATATGTGTGGTGGACATATCAAAGGTTGATTAAAGAGGTTGTGGAATGCTCGAAGACATTTCCGTCATTTTTTGGGTATATGTAGCCTAAGGTGTGATGAAATAAAAACGACTATTGTTTCTGTCATTCAATTTGTGCAAAAGTCGTCTTTGCGGGCAGCAAACAAAACACAGTAAATCGTGACATAATAAACAGGACTCGTTTATGCTACTCTGCATCGGGAGTCCTGTTTATTACGTCACGATTTACTGTGTTTTGTTTGCTGCCCGCAACGATGGCTTTTACACAAATTGCACGTTCGGGTCGAAAACAGGCATGACAGGACTTGAAAAACTCATTTTATGACAGAAACAATAGTCGTTTTTATTTCATCACACCTTGGGCTACATATACCCGAAAAATGACGGAAATGTCTTCGAGCATTCCACAACCTCTTTAATGGATCTGAAAATCGAACAAAAATTCGCCCCCATTCAGATTTTTGCATTTTTCTCCAATAGGGCCTGTGCCCAGTTCCGTCTCATTTTGCCAGAATGCTTCGCATTTGTTGCGTGTACATTGTACATTATGTACATACTGTATGTACATGAATTGAGTATGAAAGACAATACAAGGATGTTCCCTGTTGTTTTATAGCCTCCTGAAACATCATCAGCACATTTCCTTGTTTCGCACAGCATTCTTTGTTTCGATGGTATTTCAAAACACACCCGCAGGCAGTTAGATTACGTTGATACCATCCTGAAGTGTTTTCTTTTTATTGTAAAGGGATTTCACATCGTGCCAAATTCTGTTATGTTTATCTCACCAAGTCAGGTTTTGTTTTTGTTTTTCCAGATTCTATCGTCCTGTTTAATTTTGAGTTGTAAAAATGTAAACACCGCTTTAGTACATTGTAATTGTGGGTGACATTCACAGATGTTTATTTGCGTTTTGTTCCCTCCAAATGCTGAATATCTGTGAATTATTTAACAATGTGATACCTAAGGCCAAAAAAAAAAAGTCTCGGTTTCTGGTATGCGCGCGCGTCGCCGTTGCCATGTGCGTTGGCAAAATGAAAAAGTTTTTTTTTTTCAATGTAAGATGATGTCTCAAAACCGCCAAACTCACTGGTTTTACTGGAATCCTGCTGCTGCACAATTTTAACGTGTTTTTAGATGGGGTTACGATCGAATATAAGCTTCATTGGCCTCTCTGGACTCCCATATATTTGCACTAAATTTAGTCGGGCACCATTTGCAGTCATCAGCCAACATTTGAAGAAAAAAAAAAAACAGTAAAAAAAAAAAAAAAGCCGCGTCGCCACACCACTTTTTGGGCAAGCTCCATACCAGAAACCGGAGACTTTTCTTTTTGGCCTAAGCACCGTGGATATATTGATATTATTCAATTATTCAATTATATTTTGATATCGATATGCTGATATCAATTTGTTTTAATCACATCAATATGTTCGATCTTGAGGAATGATATCAAAAATATCGAAAAAGCAAAAGATTATCGTCAAAATAAATCTCCCGTTTGTGCTTTCACTTTGTGTTTAACATTTGCTGTATAATGAAATAAAAACTTATAATATCTCAACTAAGAGAATGGTTCTGAAAAGAACCAGAGGTATAAACTCGACGTTCCGGTCAGTATGCTCTGACCGTCTTCAGGAGAGTGCCTAAACTCTAAGAAAGGGAATACTTAAGTAGCAAAAGGCGAAATCAATGAAATCATTGATTTCGCCTTTTGCTACTTAAGTATTCCCTTTCTTAGAGTTTAGGCACTCTCCTGAAGACGGTCAGAGCATACTGACCGGAACGTCGAGTTTATACCTCTAGTTCTTTTCAGAACCATTCTCTTAGTTGAGAAATTATTCGCACATGGTGTTTCCACAAACCTTTCATTATTTAGTATCTCCACCATGCAAAGTCTCAAATCTTACTTAAATAAAAACTTGGCGGCAACTTTGTGCTTGTGACTCATAAAAAAAAAACATCGCGAAATGCCAAGCAGTTTTGCTTTGTGCTCTGCGTTCCCTGGAATTCGCTGTCTCTCCAATGTAAAAGCTGAAAAGAAACCGCCTGATCTGGGCAAACCCTAAGTGCTGAGATTTGTTTGAAAAAGTTTGAGCAAAATGCTTCAGAGAAAGCCGTGGAAAATTGGGACTTATTGGGTTTTTTTTATCAAAGTGTCATCTTTATGGTCTTTAACTTTTACGCGAGATAATCGATATATTGAATATTCTCGATATTAGATTTCCAATATATCAATTATTTAAAATTCTAATATCGACGGTGCTTAGAGATTCCTTTGATTTGCGTACACGTATTTATCATGTTAATTTATTTTTAGTTTTGTGACAGTGTCCATGCTTTGTGAAAAATTGAAATATTCATTAGAATTCCTTTTAAAGTGATGTAGTTTTTGTATGTGAATACAATTTGATTTTCTACTGCCGAAATGAAGCATGCTCGATTGTGCCTGTTTTTCGTTTCAGCTGGATAACCATGGCAACCACGTGGTTGCTAGCGAGGAGTCGGCCATCAACATACCAGCGGTGGCGGCGGCCCACGTGACCAAGCGATACATGGCGCAGGCGCCGGATGAAATCTCCCTTGAGGTGGGTTACGCCATCTGGAAGTCCTGGAACCAGACTGATTTCTTTATATAGGATTTGCTGTCAACTTGTGCCCGATTTCGAAGCGCTGCTCGGCACATTATTTTATGCTAATAGAGCCTCCGTCTTTTTCACCGCCCAATTTCACGGCGCTGCTAAGCACAAACATTTGTTTAGCACAAAAAAAGTCTGGCTTATGACCTGCCAAAACTCCATGTGATTTTCATGCTAAGCAAACAACAGCTGAATTTTCATTTTCATGCAAAGCAAACAACAGCTGAATACTAATCACGAGCATTATACATCACATGGAGTTTTGGCTGGTAACCTGCTCTTATAAGCCAGACTTTTTTGTGCTAAGCAAATTTTTGTGCTTAGCAGCGCCGTGAAATTGGCCCATGGAGACTGTGTTAAGCAAAGTAAGCACAGTTGAAGGAATGCTTACCTCGGAGCAGAAAGTTACTTAAATCAGTTGCTTAAATCAGTTGCTAAAAATGATGAAAGTCATTGTGCGTGCAACTGTTATCACATCCACGCCTTGAAATAGTGCTTAAGGTTAGCATGATATTCTGCTATACCAGTCATAAGTACGGTACAACTTAATCGTTGGAAGTTTTTTATTTTGACTTTTGGATCAAAAAGATTTGATTTTTTTTTTTGGACCGAAATGATATTTATGAAGGGAATAAATGTGTTTGGTCGGTATTAAACACTATGTTAAAGACCTCCGAAGCACACATTTGTTCTCTTTGGAAAAAGGTACGCAAAGATTATACCATAACTCAAAGTCTTAATATAATCTAATTTGTCTGGTTATTAGGTCGGGGATATGATCTCCGTGATTGATATGCCCCCGCCGGTCGACACGTCTTGGTGGAGGGGCAAGAACGGATTTGACGTCGGATTCTTCCCTCGACAATGTGTGGAGCTGATCAGTGACAAAATACCGCCCTCTGTTGTCAACATCATGCCAAGGTCACCCAAGCCAGGTACAACAGAAAAAAAAGAAGGAAAAAAAAACATATTTGAGTTTAAAGTTACTTTTCTTTTCAATATTTGGTGGGTTGACCATTAACTTTTCGAGAAATTCTCACCCAAAGAAGACGACCCCTATTTTTCCCAATGTGGAAAAGTCGCCATCTTGAAAAATGATCCCTCCACAACATGGCAAAATAGCGCCACTTTCGAGCCAAATTGCATCAAAAATGCTCAGAATTGGAAGCCCCAAATCCGGGCCAGAGGTTCATTGCCATATCTCTTCAATTCCCCAATTTTATGGCTCTCAGAACTCTCTAATATAGAATATTTTGATATTTTTATTCATAAGCTTGGCGGATGGGTTTATAGGCCTACATGTATTTACTGGTGTGCACCCGTAAAGCACCCTGCCCATGGACACAACTGTTTATTATTTAGTCTGGTCCCTTGTTAACAGGGGCATGTCCAAGCCATGGTTAAGATATCAGAGATCATTCTCCGTATTTCCTTCACTTAGGCTTCCGCAGTAGCCACCGTCAAATTCCAGTCAAGGAGTATCGCCGGGGTACGGTGTTCCGTTTTATTTGCATCCTTCTTCTTTTTTTTGGACTGAAAAGATTTCTCCCTCAAAATTTTGAAATGATCTTGTAAGATTTACATAACATCATCCTGTGCGCAATGAGAAAATGGAATGCCTAATCCGTTATTTCAAAATTTGATACTTGGTGCACTGTACTTATCTCGCTTTCCGTGTTTGCCAATGAGATTGTTTCATTATTTGAAGAGAACATGTCAACTCGCCTGGTGTTTTTCTTTATTTCTTGTTTTTTGTCTTTGTGATATCCCATTTTTGGGGGAGAGTTTAGTCTTCTTTAACTAACCAAATGTGGTTCTTTAATCCCGCTTGCTGCATAAATCACACAGGAAGTCCAGGTACATGACTTGCCGTCCAGTTTCACTTTCGCTGTGTATTTCTTAGATAATTGTTTTGTCGGTGTTGCTGTAGTCTGACTTGATTTTAGTGCTGCATGTTTGATTGTTCACAAGCTGATGATATATTTTTGAATTGAACTCACTAGTGTTGGTCAACTGTTTTAAAAGACTTGTCACATGATTAAACCATATTCATTAATACCTAAGACAGTTAACCCATTCCTATTGGTCGGGGATGGTTTTAAACCACTGATAAAACTTCGGCTGGTTTTAAACACTTTATTCCTGCACGGCTGCGTTCTGCGCCACATGGTGCAGTACACACCACGTGCCAATTACCATATATTGAGATTTTTAGCACTGCTTGCCCGAGATACATGTATACCATAGATATGGCCAGAGGGGTGTTTCACAAAACATAAAGTAACATTGTTAAACAAAATCTTTGAAATTTTGTGAATTTTTGACTTGTTTGTGGCATTTTGATCGAGAGGTCTTTATGAATGGGAATAACTACGTGCTTTGGCTCGGGCCATTGTCCGCGTCCAGGCTCCCAGCCAGTTTAAACGTACTTGTTTAAAACCTCCCAAGCACATGTTGATTCCCTTAAGATCCAGTCACACATTTAAGGTTTGGAGCTATGGATATCCACGGTTTGAAATTTGTGATAAACCGTGGGAGTACCGTATTCATCCTTAGTACCTCCGTGGTTATCCGTCATCTTCCTTGGGTATTTGTGGAGGGGCTACGGAAGTTTTCATGACGTTTCACCACAGAAGTTTTGAACAGTTTAAAACTTCCATTGCCTATTACAAGACATTGTTAACTCTTTCAGTGCCCGCGACATTTCAAAAGTTTAACCCTAAATTGCCCAACTTCGAGCTTTTTTTTTAATTATTCAAAATTCTATAAAAAAAAAATAAGTAAATAAGTTGTAATCACCAATCTTGTTGTATCTTGCTCTCTGGTATATTCTTGTTACCTTCAAAAGTCAATACTAGTCATGCACCTAGTAATAAACCCTGAAACACTCTCCTGAACACAGGGGAATTCCGCACTTTTGCAGAATATACGTGTGTCGCGTCTGATACCCCTCCTCATACAAACTCTGTTCATTATCATAAATATTGTCATGATTGTCACTTTTAGCACCATCATTATCATTTGTATCGGTATCCCAATGTTCGTCTTCTGACTCACCATCCAGTTCTGAAATATCCATGGATTATTCTGAATCAGAAAAGTAGTCCCTTTCCCTGTCCAAATCGGCAAAAAAATACACTGATTTTCTCTGGAGATAACACGCAAGCTCGGTTTATGGGCGCCACCATTTTGTCAACAAGTCGAAACTCAGTGTGACGCCCTCTCACAAGAACTCGAATATAAAAATAAATACAGGTCGTACATGCATGAAAATGGTACCATAAGAAAGAGCGAGAGCGCCCCCTTTTGATAACATGTTAAATTACTCTACCTCGTACATGTACGAGGTTTGGCAATTTTAAGCACGAACATTACCTCGTACATGTACGAGGTTGGCGCTTTTGTACTAACAAATATACCTCGTACATGAACGAGTTTGGCACTGAAAGAGTTAAAAGTGATACCTGGTATTCTGTGATGCTGTTTAAACAGTTTGAAGCAGATGTGTTGAACCGTGTGGTTCAGATTTGGCAGTTCCTGCTTGGACATATACATGTCCACGATGTTTTTTCTCAGAAAACCTGTTGGAACACACTCGGACTTTTCTATACGTACCTAAAACTTTCGGTACCTTTAATATGTTACTCCAACTGAATTTTTGTTTATATTGTAGTCAAGTCTTTAAAAATATAAAGTAAAAAAAAAACTCATGGGTTTCAAAAATAGTTTTTGTAGAAATATTTCCTTTTTCCTTTGAAATGTAAAGAATCAAAATTTTTGAATTAGCAGAAAAGTCGTTCTGGCATCCAAGGAGGAGGATTAAAAAGATCTGGATTTATTTAATATGTTTAAAGGGAATACATGTATACAACATTTGCAAACATCGAAAAATAAAACTATCAAGTTTTCAAAATACCTTACTTGGATGTTGGTAAATGACAGTCAAAAGCATCCTGTAAAATTATGGCTCCTGGTGTGAAGTCATTTTCAAGAAATTGGTATTTTTGTATACATTTCCAACAGTGGTCGGCCGATCACCGTTGGAAAAACCTAACTATTTTTCAACTTCTGCTTCAAATTTACCATTTTTTCCAGTCCAAATTTTGTTTGCTATTGGTAACATGTTCATGAACGGGTGCAGGCCAGCTAGACTGGTTCCCTTACCTTACAATTTTCCGGCATCTATAAATTGATCCATTTTATCCTTAGTGAAGTCAGGGAACCAGACTACTTGAACATTTTTATTTTTCTTGGTTTTTCCAGCATTTTCGAACACAAAACTTAAAACATGTCAGTGTAACAATATTTGACCTATTATACTAACCCCTCAAATAGTTCATTTCTGAAAATTACGGCAAAAGCCAATGATGTACATTCCCTTTAAGCAGATTATACTGTGCACAGTATGAGGCAGTGGGGTAACCCAGTTCAGTGTCCCTATACCCCCTACACCTTAGACTATTGTTTCCTAAAGCCCGGCAGCGATATCTCTTTCTGTACGCACGGGCTTATTTCGAAGTACGTTGAGTTGCAAGTCAGGTTCTCGGACTTTATTTTCCCTTGAAAAAAAAATCCCTCCAAACCACATATTGGTAAAAGAAAAATGTTCCAAATGACTAACAAACCTTTTTAAGAGAAAAAAAAAGAAGTAAAGAAGAAGACATTAAAAAAAGCATCCAATGGGAATCGAACTCACACCATCGGATTTGTAATCCATTGTAGTATCCATGACACTACAGCAGTGATTCGATCGATGTGGTAGTTTTAAACATTATACTATTGCATATAAAGGGCCCTCCAGCATAATTCTATATATAGTGGCGAGCATGTGGTATGGAACAAAAATCGCAGCCCGGCACACATCTTCCCAATTTTACTGGAAGGTGGCGCCGGGCTTGACACATGTATCCCCCTAGATATCTCAAAAGAATTCCTGAGATTCCAGGAACACAATAACCAACACAAGAGGTGGGGGGGGGGTCCTTCTGTTGCATATCTTGCTTCAAATGGAGTAGCTTGTTGACAAGTTTGCCTGGCTTTTGTTTTGTGTATGAAATTGTACATAAAATCTGAGTTTTGTCAGAAACATTTTCATTTCTTTTTTAGCCAATAATGTGCTTGTTCCACAAGTGAGATACAGACAGCGCTAACCTTTATTGTTGTACATTGTACGTTGTAGAAAGCATGTCGTTGCTTGGTGTTGGTGTCTTCTGCTTGTATTTCAGTAATTATTTATTTCTCCGTTTTAATTATCTTTGAATGTTGTATAGTTTGTAGACTTATTCTTGATATTGTACATACATGTATGTTCACGTGTACATGTATATACATTGTATCATTGTATCGGTATTCATAAGTATCATTTTCATGGCTACTTAAGGTAGGACGCTTTATATCCGGATAACTTGTTACATGTAACTGCCCAACATCCCCAGGGTTGGTCAGGGATTTCTTTTGTTTTCCCCCTTTTTTTTGGTACAAACCCACAAGTGAATAGAAACCAGTTCCTCTTGTCGGGGGGAGATGACTTTCCACATGAATCATTGCAAACCTGACTGTCCAAGTCCTTTTTATATAGTGATGAGGCATACATGTAGTTGTGTAACGCGGTGCCCATTCGTGGAAACTTTTGAAAATGATCTAGCAGCCAAGTACTAGTCTGCACACCCTGTTTCAGGCTGCTGGTTCATGAAGACTTTGGTGTTTGAAACAGTGAGGGAACGACAGCATCCAAAGATCAATTGTTAAAATTGTTCAGTACGACTCCAGTTTCGAGTCCATGGAAATTAAAGTAAAAGTAAAGTCTGTCACAAGCCAATGTGGCCCATCAGGCCGGCGTTCATCTCCGGTTTCAGTAGCATGAAACGACTGAGAATATTTGTATTCCGCCTGGACGGGATGCTAGTCCATCGCAGGTTACTCCCCAGCTAATGCTGGTACCATTTACATGTATACTCCTGGGTGGAGAGAGGCAAGTGGGGATGAAGTGGCTTGCTCAAGGACACAACATATGACCAGCAACTGGATTCGAACCCCCCGACCCTCTGATCATGAGTCACAAACCCTAACCACTAGGCCACACTCCCCCAGTCAGTGGAAAACCCATCCACAAAGTTCACCTGTTTCAAACCCAAATCTATTTCAGTTGACCCGGGTCTATCCTATTCTATTTGGATTGACAAAATTCTTGTACATCAGTCTTAAATTTGTGTATTAATTCATACTAATCTTCTTCCCATTTTGTACCGGTACCCACCCTCATTTCGTTTCCATCAGTTTTGAACAAGCACGGCAAGCTGATCACGTTCCTCCGATCGTTCATCCTGGCGAGGCCGACGAGACGTGGCCTGAAGCAGCGAGGAATCCTGAGGGAGAGAGTATTCGGCTGCGATCTGGGAGAACACCTGCTGAACTGCGACACAGATGGTAAGGAATTAGGGCTGTCCATTTTTTTTTTTGCAAAAATTTGACCCCCAAAATGCCGATGCACGTGGCAAATCTGTAGGAAGTGACATCATTTGAGAGAGACCTATTATACTGAGTTCCCGCCCAAAATCATGGCTTTATTTCCCTAATTTCAGGTTCAGTACTAGTACGTTTCTCATGCCAAATTTCAGCCTTATTTTACCCTTTTTATACTTTCTGGTTCTTCATCACTAATTTCCTCAGGTTGTACCCAGATTTCCAGCTTGATTTCTTCTTCTTTTTTTTCAAAGAAAACCCGACCAGGGGCCTTATATTCGGTGATTTCATCAAGACTGTACCAGGGTTTGGGATCTCTCTTATCTCAAGATTTTATCTCCTTAGGGAAGTTTAGCACCAGATGAATGCCTATCACCAGCAGGGAACAATTAGTATCGCTTGACTTAACGACTTGCTTGGCATGCCTGAATCATTGTTCAGTGGCCTAAACGCACCTAGATTTTTCATAAGTTAAATATCAAACGTAATATTTGGTTTTGTCGTGTAGTGAAACCATGTTTTCTTTCTTTGATCATTGAAATTGATGCACAAACAACCGAAATCATGAATTTGTCGGACTGTACCTGTACATGTACATGTAACCTCAATTTCACCTCATGGCTGAACACAAAAACAATTGCTGGAGTGGGGTTTGAACCTGCAACCTCCAGATTACCACTCCGGTGCTCTACCAACTGAGCTATCCAGCCCTATGTTGGCAGTTTCCCATGTTGTCAATAACTTCGTTCAAAGGGTCCTGTTTTAAAAAAAACATCATTTGGTTCTTGATCCCAAAGTGCCCCAGATTATCCAGTCCTGCACGGAGTTCATCGAGTCCAGAGGCATCGTGGACGGCATCTACCGGCTGTCCGGCGTCTCCTCAACAGTCCAGTGGCTGCGGGACGAGTTTGACAGCGAGAAGATCCCCGACTTGACTCAGTACGAGAAGGACATCCACTGCGTGTCGTCGGTCTGCAAGCTGTACTTCCGGGAGCTGCCCAACCCCCTGCTGACCTACCAGCTGTACAAGAAATTTGAGGTGAGGGGAGGGTTTGGTGTGGCTAATCTGAGCACAGCCTCAAAACTATGTTATGGCAGATTTACAATGTAGGGCCTGTTTGTTTCAATCCAGATACTGATCGAGATCATGTGATCCAGTGCCGTGCGAAGACAGAACCACTCTCGTGCATGGAATCATTTAGGGCGCACGTGAATGTCGTCTGCTTCAGATTTTGTAGGCAGAAAGGCTACTTTTATAAGCTACAGTACCGCCCAGAATTTACCATCCCCAAATGCCCACACCAAAGTCCCTTTGCCCGCTGTGTGCGATCATGGTCCCGCATGCCCTTTGCCCGATGCCCTTTGCCCGATCCCCCTTCCTTAGAATTCGGTCATTAAAAGAGGGCATCGTGTAAACCACAGACAATAATCCCCGAGCATACAGCAAAAGGGCATCGTGTAAACCACAGACAATAATCCCTAGCAGTCAACAAACCACCTTCTGAAACGGGCAACGTGTAAACCGCGCCATAACAAAACAAGAGGCCTGGAAGCCGACGTCGGGAAATTCACCCATACACACACGACGTACACAAAAAGCCGACAGAAAACGAAGAGCCGAAAAAAACAAACGGGCTTCGGAAAGTCCAGACACACATTAGCAACACAAAGGGTGGAATGCGGGCATGGGGCACGGGGCACAGCGTTGCTGTCAGCGGCAACACAAAGCAACGCACAAGTCGGCGGCCAACAAAAGAATCGAACGTGAGCATAAAAGGGAAAGAGGTCTGCGAAACCAGCAGTTTCCCCATGAACACAGGGTTTTAACTTTTCAATACATCAGCAGATCTAGTTTGTTAAAAAAAAATGGGTACATTAATTAAACCAAGAAAGGTGGTAAATCTCATAAATCACAGAGCGTGAATGACTCCATGACAACACATGCGGTTCCTGTCGGAAACAGTGCAAGTTTGTCACGATGATTCAGGCTTTCTTATTCGTTTCCCGTCATAGGCCTATATAAAAAGGGGGGAAAATGCTAAAGTGCCCTTTTGTAAAAGCGATCGACTACACACATAAATCCCCTGAAAGCCGGCATTTGTTTCTCTCTTCGGTTATAAACATTTGGTTGAACTTCCCTGTGACACTGGTGATCCGATCTATTTTAGAATCGGGTCAAAAACGTCTTCGCTCATAACAAAAATAATCAACAATCGAAAACATACCATGTTTTTCGACCAGAACCACCACCTATACATAGGCTACAGATTTTAATAAGCATTATATTATTATCTATATACACTCGGTTATAGTCACCCTTTTTTTAAAAAGAGCTTGCGAAGATGCTCTTGGAGTTTGACACGCACGGACCACCGAAACCTAGCTTAGACCCCCCACACAACATCGATTACGGGCATGTAGTTGGGTACATGTTCTACACGTTTTTCTTTAGCGAATTTTCAAAGAAAGAGACTCTTCAAGTTACATGTATTTGGATACGATAGTCACTTGATGTAAGAATTCATATGACAGTGATATAAGCATCGAAATCACACGTTGCTAAAACGGCAAGTTAAAACCCATCGGAGGGAGGGTTTAGAGCTAAACCAGAACGGTTTAAAATTTAGTACGAGTTCTGAACTGTTTTAGCTAAAACGCTTCCCGGTTTTAGCCAGCGCAGTTGACCCAGAGTAATACGTAACGCCTTTTATAATTTAAGTGGCGCCCTTTTGTATCAAACGAACAAAATACCACAGGGCCAGAAAGTATACAAAAAAACACTCGTGAACCTCCAAATTCTCCTCCCGTCAGCCATTCATGAAAAAAAAATCCGATTCCAAGCCCAATATCTCCCCTCAGGTTCTCTGGCCATGCACACGCGGTTGCATGGCCGACATATTTTCACGTGCTCGTACGATAATAATGCAGATATGAACGCAACAACGGGCCGAAGAGTAATTAAAGTAATATAGTGTAATACAAAGAAGACCATGGCGCAAGGCACCGATTGATTAATGTGGCATTTATTAATGTCACGTGTATTTGCACGTGATGACGTGCAAGATGTTCGGGCGTAACATCGAAGTAAAGGCCTACGAAGTAAAGGCCTACCTCCATGCTCGAGATCGCGCTCTTATCTTACGTACATCAGCGCGCGGTTTGGGTCAACACGGAAGTTCTACGTGACCTCAGAAACTGAGATAACCTCTTCGAGTTGAACTCGCTGTGCTTTATAAAACGGTGTCTGAATTAATGCTGGGTACGTTCTAATTTTACGACCGGCCTCCTGTGGTGAGCGACCGTTTTAACTTTTACCGGTTTAGCTAAAACATGCCTGAACATAGCCAGAACGACGCTTTTATCTTAACTTACAGTCCGTGGATTCAAACCGCAAACAGTAGTGGCTACGTGCAGCCGCAGTGAAGCTGATGGATTTCATTTTTTTCACTGTAAATTTCTGTAATACATGTATATATTTATAACAAAATATACACTGTTTTATATCTGACAACCAACCGAAATCACCCAAAATTTGTTGTTTTAATCGAAGCGCTTTTGTCTCGTAACTTGAAAACAAAGGTCAACGCGGTCTGAGCGCTGTAGGCAAAGAAACAACTAAGACACATTAAAAGCCTTTAAAAAGTGAAAAAAAATAATTGTTGGGCAGGTTTTTGTGAAGACATTGAAGAATTTTATTATAACGTTTTGTTTCATTTTATTTCACGTTATTTGATATTTGTTATGTGCCCTATTTTTTTTAGGGGGGGGGGCAATTGGGTCGCGCCATAAAATTTAATTAGGGTCGGTCGGGAATTGGGAAGCACAGTTTCTTTTGGGGGGGGGCATTTATTTCAGTTTTTAAATGTAGAGCGTCCGCTTCGGGCACAGTGAGATGGCGCTTTTTGTGACTGTGCTTTATGAATAGTATTGAGAAGCTATAGGATTGCAGGAGTCGAAAAGCCTGTGACGCGTAAGACATTGTACATGTCCAAAAAAATACAAACTGGCCGCGTCATCGGATATGATTAGTTGCAGATTTTGCTCAGAACGTTTTGAAGGCACTTTTTAGAAATACATGTACTTAAAGGCCTTCAATTACGAACAAGCAACTTACTTTTTATTCATCACATGACATCGAATTCGCTTGTCAAAGAAAATCGATATTGTGAAGGGAAAAAAAGGGGCAATACAGCCTTAAAAGCGACCTCTCAATTTAATATAAAACTTTTTCAGAAGTAAAGGAGGCAAAAACGTTTATTAATTCATTCTTAATCTAAAAATAAATGACCCTGCATATTCATGTATTCTATCAGACGGTGCCCTTTCTTATTTACATAAAAAAATGCGGTTTGTTATCAAGACAGATATATTATCTCCAGTCACACGCTCAAATTAGTGTCTTCGTACCGATTTGGAAAACGCATCAATTAAAAATGACAATTATAAGAAAGGCTAAAACAGACAAATAAAAAGCAACGGAAATAAGATATGCTGAATTAAGAATCTACGATAACTACTGAATGGAAACATCCCTCACACAGATTATGTAAATAAATACTTGTGTCAAATTAAATATTATTTATAGAAAATAAGGAGAAGAAAGTACTAGTAAAAAATCAGCATAATACTGACACTGGTATTATGAAGCACACTGCAAACTTGGCACCAAAATTATTTGTAACCCCATGGTGATCAACAAAACTAAATTGAACCTTCCCCTCATACAGGGAACAAGTCAATTATTGGGGAAAAGCAGTCAACATTTAAGTAAATTATGTAGCAATCCGGTGAGGATGGAATAGGACTATTTCAAAATCAGATGGTAGAACAGTGAACCGTAACTACATTATGCATGGACTATAGCAGCAGTAACTATATAATAATAGACATTTCAGGCCACATTTATTTGTAGACTTATATACATGTACAGTATATATATTAGAGTGAAAACAATGAAAGCAGGGGTTGTGATGAAAGTCACCGTCCCAAGGCTTGGGATTTTTTTTGTGATAGTAAGAGCTGTTTTCAAATTTGCGGCCAAAAGTAATTCCTAAAATCCAGTTGCTTGACCCCCACATTCGACAACTTGTGGAATGACCTTACGGAGGTTAGAAATGTACTTTCTGCATTTCTGAGGTGTGATTCTCGTCTTCCAGAAGAGGTCCAGTCCTTCAATCAACTCGTCCTTGGTGGATGGCTTGTGAATCTGAGTGAAAAGGAAAACGAGATTAAGTGGTTGGACAAGCATTTTGTGTGATGGACAAGAAATGAAGGGTACGTCCTCTTCACATTTTTCTGTCATTTTGAGGCAGAGAAGAGGCACAAAGGTGTGGAAACTGAGCTGTTGGTTGCTACACGGGTTCTCTCTACTGCAGTTTAACACGCTAGTTTTGTTGGGTGAATCATTATGTCGGGGGTCATGTTAATAAGCCTCAACAAGCGTCAACAAGATGTAAAAGCATTTTTAAGCTTACATAATATGCTCATAATATTGAGTGAGCTCCTATGAATATTTTAAACGTATCATAGAATTTAAAAGTATGTTCAAATGTGCGATTTTTAAGTGAAAAGGTATGATATCAACGGTGCTTTTTTACTGCGCAATAGTCGTTGCCTTGTTGCCATTTCGTGATTGGACGATGAACGACATTCGTTTGATGGTGTCTTCATAATCTCCAGCGCGAGTAGCTGCAAGCGCGGTCGCAATTAGCGCTGCCTACGCACCCGGGATCCGCACTCAGTATATACAATACTTTCAGAATCATTTTAGTGATGGTCTGTTTTCACAAATGAACATTTCATGAATGAACATCAAATGATCTATAATTACATCTTGAGATCGTTTAGACACGCCCCCATAAATGCATGAAAGTGAGTACGGAATTGAAGTGTTAAGTAATTAGTTCTTCCGGTCGCATCAACAGTCCTCTTTACTTATATTAAGTAGGATTTTTAAAAACTTTTAACTATTTTAAAATTAAAACAATGATTGAAAAGCAAAGCAGGGATCAATTTAATACGCATAATATGTACACAAAATTAATAAATTTACATTCGTAAAATATTTTTTTTTAAAAGAAAGCATGAGTATAGATGAATAATATAAAAAAAATTTAAAGAGAGAAGTAATTACTCCATTCCAAAAGTTTATGCACAAAATTATTTCCAACGAATCATTGCAGATAGCTTGCAATGTTCATTTGAAAATCGATATATATACACAGAAGGGTTTTGTGAAATGATTAAATTTTTCGTTTCCCCTTTTCTGATGTATCACTATGTGAACGAAATGTGTCACAGAAAACCTGCAGTATCTGGTCTTGTACGATGAACATGTACATGCGGCGCCCGTACGTGTACATGGTACCGTACGTCGTACTTGCGTACACGTACTTCAACGTCGTTAATTGTCCAATCACAAAATGGCAACAAGGCTACGACTATTGCGCAGTCTTTTTTTCCAACGGCCATCTTGTTTTTCGGGTGCGCAAAAGAGGCAACAAAAATGGTGGCGCTCGGTCGTCACCATAATTTTGTCGCCATAAAATTTCGTTTTTTTAAGCGGGATTGGGAATGAGAATTCCCCTTATTTCTGACATTATAAGAGATGTAGAAGTTTGTTGACTACGATGATAGCTTTTGCGAAGTTTTAATGTGCATTTTGAGCTTGTTGGCGCTGATCGTGTTCGTTGGCGCTTTGTTGACGCTAAAAAGCACGACCGTTATGGGGGGCAATCAATTTCATAAATGTATTTGTGACATACCTTTCTGATGAACCACTTCATCTCACTCCACACCTTCTCAATGGGGTTCATGTCGGGCGACTCCGGTGGCGTCTTTACCCACTTGATGTTATTCTCCGCCATGAAGTTCTTGGCGTAATTGCTCGTGTGCTGAAATGAAAATGTCGGGAGCGAACCGCTGCATTATGAAATTACTTCGCTTGTGGGAAAAAGACAAAAAGTCACAACTCAAAATTCTATGAACCTAGTCGCAATGATTTTGTGGTGCGTGCCGGCTCAAACATATATCCCGTTGTCTCTATGTATTTTTTGAGAAACCACATAGGGTGTTTGTTTGTCTTTACATGTATATGCTTTATCAAAGACCTGTGCAAACAAATCGATTTGAGTATTATAGTGAAATATTTAAGTGGGCCTACATCATGTTGAAAATCGTGTTCTGCAGTTGTTTCCGTGAAAAAAAACCTTAGCTGTAAAATGCACAAAGTGTTTAAATAAAATCCACAAAAAACCTACTTTTGGGTCGTTGTCCTGCATGAAACGATGTCCATCAGGATAAAACGTGTTCAAGAAGGGCTTCAAGCCTTCCTTCAGGATTCGGTCTGTATAGAAAGTTTTCTCCATGATGCCGTCGAATATCAACAGCTTAGTTGCCCCTCTCCTTGAGATTCCTCCCCAAACATGGACTTTCGTGGGGTGTTTTGCTTTAGGTTTAAGTTTTCGCTTGCCTTTCTCGGACACTTTTCTAAAAGTGATCTTTGCGTGGCTTTCTAACTGGACGGTCGATTCGTCGGTAAAGACGATGTCTCTGAATTTGTCTTGCCTCCGTATGCAGTCCAGTGCGTATTCACAGCGAAGGATACGATTCTCCAGTCGGATAATTTGGCAATGTTTGGTCCCAGTTTTTACCCAGCCGAGCTTTCTTCTCACTCTCTTAATAGTACTCAGCGACAAAGCATCACCAGTTTTTTCTGCAATGAGTTTCTTGAGGTCGCCCGCTGTTGCCTCGTCGCTTTTCTGCAGGGCTTCTTCAATCAGCTCGCGGTGGCAATTCTTCACATTGCCTCGTCGACCCGATCGCCGTGTCTCAGTCACGGTGCCTGTTGCTTTCCAGCGCTTTAGCAACAGGCGGATTGCTGACGCAGAATGGATGTGCCCCTCTTTGGCAAGATCCACTCGGATGCTGGAGCACCCCAGACCGCGTTTAGCAAGTTCAACGATACGAAGCCGAATTGTGAGGGGTATTCTATCTGGCATCTTAATATTTTGAAGTCAAGGGCGAGAGCGATGTATATGTGTGTGTGGGGGGGGGGGGGAGCAAGAAGATAGTACGCTACATTATGTGCACACTTGCCGTCGAATCCGCCGGTATGGACTATAGACGTCTTTGTGCGAAGGAAGTTGGTAAATCCTTTCATCCCAAACAAACGAGCAAACACAAAGGCCTGGCCAAACACCCTCCCGGCTCCCAACGCGTTATTGTCGGACCTTGCTGAGGTTGGTTTGAAGTTTTCGCGCCATGAACGTCTTATTAAAAATAGCCAACTCATACCGTCTCATACCGTCTTCGTCTAAGGTTGGAGATGGATTTCGGGCACGCTGTCCACGCCGTTGATCCGGCATGCGGCGCTTGGCTGCTAGGCAAAATCGTTGGCAAAAACGAATCACAACTTCAAATCAAATGGCGAGACTACCCCAAGGTTGAGCCATTTATATATGGAGATCAAGGGCATTCAAAGGTCATTCAAATGTGCATTACCACGGGTTACGAATGCGTAGTTCGAATGACAAAAATCCTTACACACTGAAATACCTTTATAAGGAGGTCCTTGGAACTTTACACATTTACCTTGTATATTATAAGCCGTATAACAGGTACCTTGTTTATCAGCAGTATTGATTTAAAGAAAAACAAAGGCTTGTTACCTAATGTTTCCTTGTCATGCAGCTGGATGTTGATTGAAAACAGCTGTTCTCAGAACTGGCCACAGATCTGCTGCGAACAATTAAATAAGTACTGTACTTTCCGAAAAGCATATCCCTTGCGAGAAGTATAGTTGTAGCATGAATATTATTTTTGGGGGCAAGATTAAAAACTTTCTTTTTTAAATGGGTTTTTCGTAAAGTTTTGCTGGCCGCGACAAGTTGTCTATTTCACTTACATATGCGTGAAGTTTTTTGGACTCCATTCTATTCGACATCGATTAGAATGAACACTGAGAGTACAAAACCCCCCTCCCCGTAAAAAAAGAAACAACGTAAGGGTTGGCGGGAAGTACCTTTGCGGTGCTTTTGAATTAATTCAGGACACCGAAATAAGCCGTGTACCTTGCTTTTCGGCAACATTCCATAGACACATCAAAGTCATAGGGCTCGGCAGCCGCTACATTATGTGCACGTCGAATCCGCCGGTATGGACTAAAGACGTCTTCGTGCGAAGGAAGTTGGTAAATCCTTTCATCCCAAACAAACGAGCAAACACAAAGGCCTGGCCAAACACCCTCCCGGCCCCCAACGCGTTATTGTCGGACCTTGCTGAGGTTGGTTTGAAGTTTTCGCGCCATGAACGTCTTATTAAAAATATCCAACTCATACCGTCTCATACCGTCTTCGTCTAAGGTTGGAGATGGATGTCGGGCACGCTGTCCACGCCGTTGATCCGGCATGCGGCGCTTGGCTGCTAGGCAAAATCGTTGGCAAAAACGAATCACAACTTCAAATCAAATGGCGAGACTACCCCAAGGTTGAGCCATCATGGATCGCGAAAGAAAACGTTCGGGCACCAGAGAAGCGTCGACAACTTCGCCGAGAAATAAAAGTTGACCAGTGGCCGTCTCTGAAAGCACCTCGCAATCTTCAAAGAGGAGACTCGGTGCTAAGTGTACGTGAGGATGGCACACCGGGAGAACCATTCGTAGTAGAGGTCAACGATGGTTTCATGTGCGAGGTAAGCGCGAGTTCAAAGTGTTCGTTTTATTGCTTATATACATTTTATTTTTATCTATCGACCTGTAATACTGCATGGGAGACCAAGAATGCATCAAATTTTTGCAAAATTGTATGTAATCTCGCACAACTTGGCTACGAAATGAACGCAAAGTAGGCCTCAGGTCACTAGTGTTATTCAGATCAGCATAGCAAATCTTGGGCTACACTAGAGTTTTAGTTATCCGTGCACTCTGAGCTAGCTTTATTCCTTTTTTTTCACTCCAACTTAATCCTTCTAAATCCTCCTACTAAAGACTTCATGTGAAAAAAAGCGAAAGCAATGCGAATTTACCGTCACGAGACATTCGTTGCGAAATTCGCCTGAGTTGAAAATGACTGCGTTCCACGTTTGCGAATTCGCAGTGCAAATTAATGGTAGCGTACGCTTTTGCGCGGAGTCTAAAGTAGATCCAGAACATTAATTAAAACAAAATTTGTTGAGGTAAAGGCTAAGGGAAAAGTTAGGTTTCGGTGGAAATATTCATCGTATCGTTATTATCATTACTACAACTGCTGCATTTTCAGGTGTTGACAACTACTGGACGTGTACTTCGTTACGAGTTCATAAAGGAAACCACGCGAGGGACAGCTCTCCCTATACAGGCTGGAACATCATCAGCATCCACACAACCACCTGTGACGGTAAGTGTTTTTTGTCATAACTTCTGGACTACTGCAAAGTCGTCCGACAATGGGCATTAAGGATGTGACGTCCCGACGTTTACACATGTACAAGTTTACCTCCTCTCGCCCGACCGCATTATTTCTTTTTATTTTGAGCATGCAGTCCCCCAAAGATGTTAACAAGTTTTACTCCTCTCGCCCGACCGCATTATTTCTTTTTATATTGAGCATGCAGTCCCCCAAAAATATGAACAAGTTTTACTCCTCTCGCCCGACCGCATTATTGCTTTTTATTTTGAGCATAGTCCCCCCAAAGATGTTTACAAGTTTAACTCCTCTCGCCCGACCGCATTATTTCTTTTTATATTGAGCATGCAGTCCCCCAAAAATATGAACAAGTTTTACTCCTCTCGCCCGACCGAATTATTTCTTTTTATTTTGAGCATAGTCCCCCAAAGATGTTAACAAGTTTTACTCCTCTCGCCCGACCGCATTATTTCTTTTTATATTGAGCATGCAGTCTAGTCCAACAAGAATATTAACAAGTTGTACTCCTCTCGCCCGACCACATTATTGCTTTTTATTTTGAGCATAGTCCCCCCAAAGATGTTAACAACTTTTACTCCTCTCGCCCGACCGCATTATTTCTTTTTATTTTGAGCATAGTCCCCCCAAAGATGTTAACAAGATTTACTCCTCTCGCCCGACCGCATTATTTCTTTTCATATTGAGCATGCAGTCTAGTCCAACAAGAATATTAACAAGTTGTACTCCTCTATCCCGACCGCATTACTCCTCTCGCCCGACCGCATTATTTCTTTTTATTTTGAGCATAGTCCCCCAAAGATGTTAACAAATTTTACTCCTCTCGCTCAACCGCATTATTGCTTTTTATATTGAGCATGCAGTCCCCCAAAATATGAACAAGTTGTACTCCTCTCGCCCGACCGCATTATTTATTTTTTATATTGAGCATGCAGTCCCCCAAAAATATGAACAAGTTTTACTCCTCTCGCCCGACCGCATTATTGCTTTTATTTTGAGCATGCAGTCCCCCAAAGATGTTAACAAGTTTTTCTCCTTTCGCCTGACCGCATTATTTCTTTTAATATTGGGCATGCAGTCCCCCAAAAATATTTTCAAGCTGGAGCATTTGTATTGAAGCAATCGCAGGCGAAGCAAACGTGCAGTACTTATATTATGTTACTTTTCTTCCTCAGAACGTGGCTGGCAAACAGAAAAAAAGCAAGGCAAGGACTCCACAGGCTTCCACACAACGTCGCCAGGCCCCCAAGAGAAAGGCACAACCAGCGAAGAAGCCAGTTAAAAAGGTAGTCCTTCGTTGTCTGCAGTTAGCAACTTTTAATTGAAGCTTTACGTATCAATGGGGAGATCTCCACCGGGGACAGGTGTCCTTCAATCTTGAAATAAGCAGAATCATATACATGTAAAACTATATTTTGTCCCTAAAGCTAAGGCCACCCCCCCAACTAAAATGTAGCACTATTTAAATTGGCCAATGTGAAAATATGCAACTGTTAAAAGGGATGTACGGGTAGACTAACTCTTCCCACTTCATTAAGTACCATTTTGCCCGAAAGAAAAAAACATCACAGAGACAAACAACAAATAGCGATCATCTTTCAAACATGTTATATCGCAACAATTTCGGCTTTACATATCTGCCTCTTTTGTGTCATTTTAAATTCATATGACCCGTCCCATCGTTTCACAATGGCAAAGTAAAAAATTATATCATTTTAACGTAACACTCAGGGTTGTTTGATTGAAATAAATTTAAATCATTGATGTAAAATCACTGTTTAAATCAATGGAAACAAATCAATAAAATCATTAATTTTTTTTTTTCAACCTCTGCTGTGTTTAAAATCCATGTAAGCCCAAAAATCTGATTGATTGTATTTTTAACAAAGAAGTCAAGATTTTTATCAACCTGCTAACACTGTAGTTACACTATTGACAGGTGAATTCTTTCTTCCTGCTGTCCTGGTTCTTTTAAAAGTGAAGTCTCATGAGCACTGCTATTTCTTGTATTTTCTTTTACAGCTAGCTTGTATGATCCGTAAGTGTTCCCCAGCATATGACAGTGGAGATGACTCTGATGCCAGCTTTGAATACATTTGCAACAGAACTGAGACAGAGCTTCAGGGACTCACCAATGCTGCAGTTGTAGATCTACAAGAAAGGATAAAGATACGGGACGCTGAAAAAAAGCTGCGGGATGCTGAAAAGAAGGCAAGGGAGGCTGAAAAGAAGGCAAGGGATGCGGGAAAACAGACAGAGGACACTACTGATGACCATGACTCTGACAGTAGAGTGAGCGACATGTCCCTGGATTCACCTCTGCAATCTCCTTCACCACCACCAAGATCACCCTCTACTTCACCGCCACCCCGATCTCCAACACCGCAACCTCGATCTCCTACACCGCCACCCCGATCTCCTACACCGCCACCCCGATCTCCTGCACCGCCACCCGATCTGCTTCACCGCCACCCCGATCTCCTGCACCGCCACCCCGATCTGCTTCACCGCCATCCAGGTTTTGCCTACCCCCAATAAGGACGTCTGCACCACCACCCCAACCAAGGTCGAGACCATCTCCACACCCCCTCTTTACGCAAGCACCACCACCACAATCCCAGCCACCCCGATCAACCTCACCACCATCGAGGTTTTCCCGGCCCCCCATAAGGACCTCTGCACCACCACCCCAACCAAGGTCGAGACCATCTCCGCACCCCCTCATTACGCAAGCACCACCACCACAATCCCAGCAACCCCGATCAACTTCACCACCATCGAGGTTTTCCCGGCCCCCCATAAGGACGTCTGCACCACCACCACCACCACCACCCCAACCAAGGTCGAGACCATCCCCGCACCCCTTCTTTATGCAAGCACCGCAATCACTGCCACCCCGATCTATTTCACCCCTTCCAGCTTTTGCCTGCCCCCCGTGAGGACATCTGCACCACCCCAACCAAGGTCGTTAGCATGGCTCCAACCTCAGCAATCCCTCTATATGCAGGCACCACCACCGAGATCACTACCACCGAGGTCACAGTCACCGCCACGCCACATTTCTTCAACACCTACACCCCCAACTGTCCTCACACCACGGCCCATTCAGCGACAAAATACGGTTGAAACCTGCATGTGCTCACTGACAAACACATGCTCAATGTGCAGAGACAAGTTGTTTCACAGAATAGATGAACTTGAAAAGAAAATAAACAAAGTGCTTGTAGTTAGCACCTCAGTCCTAACGAAATCCCAGGACATGGAAACCATAAACAGTTATCTGGATCAAGAGAATGACCAGGATGGAAATGCAAAACTGTCTCTGAAGCCAGAAGTTTTGGACAAGGTCTCAGCAATGTTGCCGAACTACAAAGCCATAACAAAGAAGCTGGCATCCATGATTTTTCTTGATGAGGAGAGAGTAAACGCTAACTGCAGAGGGGCAAAGGGGAAGCAGCAACTGGACAAGGCCAGGATTGCAGCCATCAAGGATGCTGTATGGAAGTTGGCTTCCGGTTCTGAGGAAGATAGAGAACACATCTGGCAGCAGTGCATCAAAGCTATCGATGAATACAACAGAAATACCCTAAGATCAATGAAGAGGCGCCTCTTTTTACAATAGACCCATCAAGGACATTTAAAGAAAATGTACATCATTTGCTTCTGCTGTAATTTTCAGAAATTGATGGAATTGGGGGGTTGGAAATATATAGCAAATATAGTTACACTGACTATTTTTAGGTTTTGGATTCGAAAATGCTATAAAGACCAAGGAAAACAATCATTTTCCTGTAGTCTGGTTCCCTGACTCCAATTAAGAAGAAACAAAGCAGTTTACATATACATGTACATGTATTGGGGGAATTGTAAGGTCAGGGAACCAGTCTAGCTGGCTTTTACCCGTTCATAGGTGTGTAATCGACTGCAAACAAGTGCCATGGTCAACTGGGGCCAGTATTTGAAAAAAAAGCCAGTTTTACAAAAATACCACTTTTCTTGAAAGTGACAGTATACCAGACGCCATGATTTTACAGGATGCTTTACACTGTCATTCACTAATAGTCCAGCAAGGTATTTCAAAATGATTTGGTACTTTTATTTTTTGATGTTTGCAAATGTTGTATATTCCCTTTAAGTTCACAGATAATACTTTAAAGCTGTACTGTACTGTCTAAATACCTGTATGATGTCCTTAAACTGAGAAATCTGCTTTGTGTATTACATTTTCCGCCTTTAATAATTTCCTGTAAACCTCTGTTTCCTTCCCGATCTTTTGTTCTCAACTCCCTTTCATTAATCACTTACGCACTTCTGCGTCCGTTCCTCTCCCCCCCCCCCCCGTTACATTTTATCCTCTCCCTTTCTAGTCCCTCCCCTGTTGCCATACCCCTTTGTTTCTTTGTTCTCATATCCACCCTCCCCTGCATCTGTTCACCTTACCCGGCCCATTCATATCTAATCCTCCTTTTATTGTGTTTCTCTCCTCAGCCCTTCATATTTGTGTGAGTCTACAATTGTTGAGTTCTGCACCTGTCATTTGTCTTTTAGCCTCTAAAGAAGAACTTGTTAAGTTCGAAACGATATGCCACATTAATGTTTAAATTAATTCTTTTCATGACATCAGTATGTTCGTGTGCATTGTGTAGGCTGCAACAATAAATTGGCTGTTATTGAAGTAAGTGTGTATTTATCACAGAAAGTACTTGTACTTGATCGTCAATCTGTGCGAACTTTCTTTTTATTTGTTTGCAAAAATCTTGCAGACTTATGTTGATTAGGAATACATGTAGTCAGGTGCCTGGCTGTGCTATTCATCAACGTTTACTTTTGCATGCGGTGTCTGGGGTAAAGACAATCAATTCGTTGAAGTGTGAGTTACGAAAACACCTCACTACAAATGTATTTAATTTTAAAATGTAACAATCCTATCCAGCCATTTTGCAGTATCACATTTTATATTAATACGAGCAAATTAGAAAAGATGGCTATTTTTTTGTATAAGTTGTGGGCGTAATAATCATAATGAACGTGAAAACACGTAATACACGTTGGAAATAAAAGCACCAACTACACCACATAAATT